GTTGCGCTTGCGTAAAATTTACTATCGTAGAAATTCAGCTCTTTTGCCTTTTGGCTAATCTCATCCCTGTCTATTGTTGAATTGTTACTGATATATATGCATAGCTGCCAACTCTTCCGCATTTTGCAGAAGCTTTTCGCGTTTTTACTTATTTTAGCTATTTTCTACGAGCAGATCACACACATTTTCTGCCCGCATTTTACCCATAGCTATGGATGGTGTTTTCAATATAAATGTAAACAGTTGTTTGATTAAACAATTGATAAATGTAAACAATTGTTCAAAAGATTGTTAACAATCTCGAGCTCAATACCTGCTTTATTATTGAATTGTTACTGATACATATGCAGGCTTGTATGTTCACTACAAAGTATGGCGTATAAGCCTTGGCTTTATTCTATGCCATATATTCAAATCAAAATCATGGAAAAAGCATAGAATCATTTTTTCATGAAAGAAAAGTGATTACTGAGTCAACGATCAAATGAAAGTAACATTTTCTTTATTCAGTATATCTTTATTTGTGAAACATTAATTTCACTTTAATCGTCTTATTCGGTTATTGATGATCAGTCTATTATAGGCATATTCTTGTATCAGTACTTGTTCATGACTTACTACCTTCGCTAAAGAGTAAAACTATTAATTATTATTGAAACCATTATATATATTTCTTTAAATCTAGCAGTTTTTTGAAAATATAAAACTTATTTGTTTATTTTGTCTTACCTTAGCTTAATTTTCTTTGTATCTAAAATCTAAGTTGCTCAGTAACATTTCATTGCAAGAATTTGATAAATATTTTTATGAGAATCATTTAATTTCATCATCACTTAAATTATCTTGCTTTCTTTCACGCTCATTTTAGTATATGTAATAGTACAAAAATAAGGAATATTAAAATTGAATTGTTTAAAAAATTTTTAACACTGAAAAATATTGTTATCCTATTTAATATTTGATGTTACCATCTAAGAAAAAAAAGTAATGTGTTTCTTTATAAAGAGTAATACTAAGAAATTTTCTACCGTAGTGACACATTTTCATGTATATTATGCATATTTGGATACTGATATAGAAATCTTTCCTTTATTATTGCGATACCCAAATAGGGTATATTAAGAAAACATCAGTATAGGGCAGTGTTTCCCAAAGTGTGATATGCGTACCCCCAGGGGTACGGAAAAAGTTTCGGGGGTACACGTTCTTCTGCTGAATATCTTGCAACAAACGAAAATTTCAAAAAATTTTATTTAAAAAAAAAATTGGCATGAAAATTTATAACATATTTTTCTATTGGCTATTTTTTGCAAAGTTAACATTTAATAATTAGTGGTGTCAGCAACCAGTTGGGATTTTGAACTTTTGTGCAATTTTTTTATAGTAAAAAAATACATTCATTTTTTTTATTCGTGGTACACAGCGTTGTGAGAAATTTAGAAAGGGTACACAAAAGTCGTAAGTTTGGTAAACACTGGTATAGGGGATATCAGGCTATGGCCCTGAACCTTAAAAAAATTTAAGTTTAAGGAATACTCTGTAATGGCATTTACCTTAAAATACCATTTTATATAGAAAATCCCAGACGATGATCATTTTCTCTTGATTCAGAATAATTTGATTATCTTTATAATTGACTGTTATCCCCTCTTTCATATTATATTTTTTTATTTATTTGATTTTGCATTTTTCTCCCTATAATTACAAGCAAACTGTGTGATAAATAAAAAATTAACTAACAATTAAACTAATGTTATAAACCAATAATTGAAATATAACCTAGTTAATTATACTTATTAACTTAAGTTCAAATAATATGAATGCATTTAATTGTTCATAAAATAAAATAATGAGTTTGTCTGGCACATGTTACTCTGGCATAAAAAGTGAAACCACTTACAAATACAAAATTTAGCATGAGGTTAAAATAGTTGCTATGGTAATGGCACTCTAGAAATTTTTTAGATTTGTCCCAGAAGAGGCAAATTAGAAGTATAAAAAATATAACCATTTGTGAACTAACCATTGTGTAGGTATTTGTTTTTTATTTTCAATTACTAAAACCTGACAGTTTCCTCTTGACAATGGCAGCCGGTGTGATTAAGCCTACTGATATAGAAAAATCCCTAATGTAAAGTCAAATGATGTCAACTGATCCGCTTTCTGCAAAAGTTTTAAAAAATTAGTAGTAAATTGAATAATAAAACTTGTAGAATAAGGATAAATATGCCTTCCCTTTAAAAGTGTCACCACGATATAATTACTATAAAGTTGCATTTCATATAATACTTTGAATTTTTGATATGTAGTGGTGAAAAAATTACTTAAAATAAAAAAAATACTTACCTTAAAATAGATAAAATTTCATTATCCGTGGAAAATAGTTTTTTACAAAGCAGAGCCAGTTGTCATCTCTGGGTATGTATTGACCTGTAATGTGCATCCAACTGCTTGATTTTTGGCTATTTGTTTCAATATTTTTTAATTTTTACATGTTTTATAGGATTGCCATTAGAATATACTTATGTGAGATATGGAAACATAGTTGCTAATGTTTTACTGAATATTGTTTGATTCAGTTAATGATTTTTTTTAAAATCTATATATGTTGTATCAAGTATAGTCAGATGACATAGATCCCCTGACACATGCTTCCTTTACCTAGTAATCACGTTGCAACAACATGATGGTATGTACATCAAAAATGTTTACTCGGATTGTAAAATCATATGTCTTAATTTCTTAAAGGCAATGGTGTGAACAATAACCAAATGTCATTATTGTAATATTATTTTCTTTTACATAAAAATATATTTTACTTATCAAATAAGAGGACTAATTAACAGCTGCTATAATATAAGAAAATATAGATAAAAAATATAAAAAAAATTAAAAAAAACTGAAGTTTATATGATAGAACGGAATTCTATACTTTCTTTGTCATAGTATTTTTCCTTTTCCTAAAATCACATTAAGTTTCAGTGTTTTCACTACAGCGCGAGAACTCGAGAATCTCGCTTATTTTTTTCTTTTCTCGCATTAAAAAATTATCAACGCGAGAAGATCGCGCACTCTATTAATCAATTTCAAAATGTTCGAATTTTGGAAAAAAATTCGTCTTCTGCCATTTTGAATAAAATCCGTTTCACTTTTCTTCCTTGATCTTTCATTATTTTCAACATGGATCCCTGTTATCTAGCTTCCCTATTTACCAGTATTGTTCAGAACCGGTGCCAACAGCAGAACACAATGCCCCCCCCCCCAAATGACAGAACACCTTTCATAACACATTTTTCTGCAACCACATGTTCACGGAAGGTAAAATTTCTTCATGTAAGACGTTTACATTTTTTTCAATGCTTTAAATTTACTTAGAGATTCCGAATTGTTCAGCATCTGTTGCAAGGTCATGTAGCACTCAAAACCGAATTAAGACAAAATATCTTATACAAATAACTGATTAACATTTGAGCAACCTAATGAGAATAGCTGATGAAAAAGTAGATATAGCACATTTTCCATATGATGATGCAGCAAAAATATTCAATGCTTTAAAAATTAGATGTTAAAAATGTATTATAATTAAAGAAATATTTTTTTTCCAAGTCTATTCGCGTTATTTTAATTTTTAGAAATCTCACTTAACTTTTTGAGATCTCACCCTGTTTTTGAGAAAGGGTGAGAAATTCTCTCTCCTTTTTTTTCTGTAATGAAAACACTGAGTTTTGTATAAAACATTGCAGTAAAGAAAAAGTTTTAAATTTTATGAAACAGCAATTAACTACAAGAAAATGATGGCATTGTTGAGTACAAATATGCTTATTTCATCAGTAATATGTCCTAGCATTGCCAAGTAGTATTTTCCTTGTATTTAGACCATCATTTTTTTTTTTTTTTTAAGTTTAAAAGTATAAGAATGTACAGTACACGTCTTTTGAATGTTGCAATGAACAACTATTTTATTTTAGTTTGAGAAGTTAAGAAATAAATTAGTTTTACTTGAATCTGTTGCATTGCTAGAAACATTTTAGAATAAAGCTTGAAAAAATTTGCATAAATGTGTGTCTTTCTGAATGCATTTTATATACACTCATTGTAATTGTTTCTCAATAAATATAATTTATGTTTCAGAAAGGAATTGATATGGTTACTAAAGCTACTGAAGAAGACAAAAAGAAAAACTATGATGAAGCATGCAGATTATATGAACATGGAGTTGAATATTTTTTACATGCCATTAAATGTAATTATATATCCTCTTTTCCTCTTTTTGAATTACAGTGGTTCACTCACTCTATCACTCACTCATATATATATANNNNATATATATATATAAAATACACACAACCACTGTACGCAGAAAAATTGTCACCATCATGGAAAAATTTTTAGTGTCCCTCATTATAAACAAAAAACAGTCTAAATTCTCCTAGTTTACCCTGTAGTCAATATTTTTAAACATCACAGAAAAAAAAAATTTATGATTTCCCATTATAAACAAAATTTTCAATTTTACCCTGCAGTTAATATTTTTATACATCACAGAAAATCTTTTAGCGTTACTAAAGACAATCAAAATTGCCCAATCTTAATTCATGGATCAATCTTGCAGGTATAAATATGTGAATATCTTTTTGTTCTTCACACAGCCGCACATCATTCCATTTGTTCAGGCATACTTCTATTTTTAATAATCAATATAAAGTTTTAATAAATTAAAACATTTTCGAAAGTAACTATGATTTTCAAACGAATTTTGCCGAAATAGGAGGCTGCATAAGAATTAGAACTAGTTTCAAGAGTGTTGTATTATTTAAGATTGCTTGCAGAAAGTTTTTTAATTGAGATTTTGTGTTCACAGAAAGTTTTTCATTTTATCTAAGTCTGCTTGTAGCTCTAGAACCCTTTGTTTTTATTATTATTGTTTTCCAACTCTTTTTACTTTTATAATTATTGCAGATATCATTTGATTTTACAAAGATTTCCCTAAAAATAAAAAAGGAGCAAGGTGCTTTTTAAAAAACAAGGGCACTCCGTTTGAAGAGCAATAGCTACATAAATGCCCTTCGAAACGGAATACAAGTAAATATAAGAAATATTTTATGCATATTGACTTAGCCTAAAAATAATTTGCAGTAGTTAGGGTTATCAGAAGTTCCTCATTTCTACTAATGCAATCTCTGCAATAAATCTGCTACTAGAAAAAGAGCATTTTTTTCTAAAAGAAAAAGAGAGAGGCCCAAAACCTACCTCTGTAAAAGAGCTGGCAGGGTGGGCCACCCTTCTTAAAACACTTAGGGAAAACACTGATTTTATTTATTATTTATTTTGAATAAATACCATTTTTTTAAACCCTTAGTTTAGTATACCAGTTCATCATACTTCTCGTAGCCATTCGATTTTGTTCACTCTTCTCTGAAACAGACACGTTTGTACAAAAGTACTTCAATTCTATTTCAATTATGCTCTAATTTTTTAAAATTTATCTTAACACCAAATTAAGCATTTTCTTAATATCTTCCTAAACAATCACTTTTTATACTAAGCCTGTTCCAAATTACCCCTTTTTATACTAGAAAAACATACTAAGCCTATTCCAAAATATCTGAAATTTGTAACTTTGGTTAAATTTGCATCATTATTTGTCATGTTTAAAAAAAATAATCTGAAATATTTTTTTCCAGATGAAGCTCAGAGTGATAAGGCTAAAGAGAGCATACGAGCAAAGTGTGTCCAGTACTTAGAGAGGGCAGAAAAGTTAAAGAAATATTTGAAAGACAAGCAAAAGAAGCCTATTAAAGACACAGAGGATGGTCCTACATCGTAAGGCTATATATTTTCTCTTCTATATATCTTATTTATTTTCTCAAGGTGCTAGTGTCAGCTTCTTTTTATCTTTTATATCTGAATTTAATTCATCTATCCTCCCATGTTTATGCTAATCATAACTTAATAGTCAATTTGCACTTACAATCTTGCGAAAAGCAGTTGTTTAATTTTTTAATGGTAGTTATAGTTCAATTAACTCTTGAGTGACAGCAAGTGATTTATCAGAATACTCTTACTGTAGACAAGTTTAATACTTGTTCATGTATTAGTTTTTATGACCCAATACAAGTAAGAAAAGATTGTTTTAATTTGATTAAAGGAAATAGCTTATATTTTCTACAAAAATCTGTTAAAAAATTAGTGAAGAAAAATTGCACATAGCATACTATTACTGTATACAAGTATACTGAATACTCTTACTGTAGACAAGTTTAATACTTGTTCATGTATTAGTTTTTATGACCCAATACAAGTAAGAAAAGATTGTTTTAATTTGATTAAAAGAAATAACTTATATTTTCTACAAAAATCTTTTAAACTTTAGTGAAGAAAAATTGCACATATAACATTTTTCAGTTATATGGAATATTTTCAGTTATCTGGGTTTGTGTTGTGTCATCAAATTCGATGGTTAATTGAGATTGTACAATAAATTTAAATGTTTCTAAATATTAAAAGGTATTGCACTAGACTAGATATCATTTAATAAATATGTTATTAGTTTTTATCTACAAGAAAAAAATATTTCACAAAAGGAATTAGTTAAACAGTTGGGATGAAAATTTTCTCTGTTACAAGGAGGGCTTTTATTACTCCACTTCATTAAATGGAACTTAAGCATTGGTTTTAATACATTACATATCTGCCAACTCTACTAAATTTTTTCCGTTTCTCTGGTCTAATTTAAAATCCTGCTGTTTTTTTAGTATATTTTAGTAAATTCTCTAAAAGAAAAAATATTTTTTTCTCAAATCATTGTTTTAAGTTTTAAAAATGAAGAAAAATATCGAATTTTTAATTTAAAATTATTTTATTACGTGTTTATTAATTTTTTAAGAAATTTTTCAAATCTCTAACTTCTGTTCATGATTATTTGATTACTATTTCTCTTTCTTAAAAATCTTCTAATGAAGGAAATATTAAAAATGTATTGTGCAAATATTTGCAAAAGTTTACTTTTTTTTCCATCTTTCTTGTCTGATATGTTACTAAACAATAAACTTTTTCCTAAACTGAGAATTTGACTTCTTTAAAAATCATTGTTATGCTCAAACTATAACACTAGTTGTATTGAAAAACCATGTTTGTTTCTACATTTCAGTAATTACAGCTGTATAAATCAAATGGTTTTTTTATTTTATATGTAAATCAGTTAACATCTGAATTGAGATATGATAAGGATGTATCTTTATGATTCAGATGAATTCAGATTTTATCTGCTATATTTGTAGGGAATAAAAATAAAACAGCAACATAATAGTTTTGCTTTATTCATTATATTTTCTGTGTATTCCATTTTTATTTTATTTGATTAATAATTCTTTCAGTAGCTTTTGAACAGAAAGAGCTAAATTGTAAATAAAGTAATAATTTTTTTCTGTACTTACGAATACAATTTTCTGTGATACTAATAGTAAACAGATTTCGAAAATATCTTTATCAGTTGCATTGTACTAGTTAAAATGTTTTGTCGAAATAGTTAACTCACTCATATTTCAAGTATAATAATTTAATTTAATTTAGTAATATTTTTTTAGAAAAAATAGTGGCAACAGTAGTGATAGTGATGATGACCCTGAAAAAAAGAAACTTACCCACCAATTGGAAGGTATATAGATTTGCATTTGTATTACTTAATTTAAAACATATAATGTATATGTATTCATAAACGTATTAGCTTATTTGTGTGCATTTGTTTTTTAAGATTTTCTCTATAAAATTTGTGTGGTATGTTAATTGTTAAAATTTTTATTTCAATTTACCATCATATCAACCTGAAAAATCTGAAGTTATTTTCCTAATAATGGGCTTAAATTCTTATAGTTTACTTTAAGTTATGTATCCACACACCTGGAAAGTCATGAATTTCAGTATTGCACAAGATTTGTCATGAAATGCCATGATTTTTACTATTTTTAAAAAAAAACCATGGAAAGTCATGAATTTAGGTCTTCGAAAAATCTAATTTTTAAAATGGAATTCCCCCCCCCCAATTTCATCCTGTTCCAAATATCTGAATTCCTAAAAAAAATCAGCTCCTAGTCATATTTTATTAGAATATAAAATGATTTTATCATGTTCTTTAAAAATTATGGTGTTCTTTCAAAAAATGAAAGAAAAAACATCATTTCTAGAGTGAATTATCTTTTTCTTTGATTTAAGAATTTTTATTATTATTTTTTTTTAATTTTATCAATTTTAAATTCTAGTTGAAGCAAACTAGTCATTGGCGAATTTTTTATATTCCAAAAAGGGAAGAGAAAAGTCAGTAGTATTTCTTTCCCTTTTGATGAACAAGAAAAGTACCTTTAGAATATACAGTGGTGGCCAAAAGTGTGGACATTTTTTGAAAGTTTCACGTTTTTCAACTTTGTGTGCTTGTAGAATATATTAATTTTCCCTTAAATACTAAAGTTTATATATCAAATTGAAGGTAATTTAATGTAGAATTTAATAATAAAGACAGAATTAAAATATCTATATTACAAAAAAAGGTATGCTCATTTTAGTAGAATAAACAAACACATATCATTTTGAATAAGGACATGTTTTGTAATAAAAGCGTACTAGCCAAGCACAAACACTGTTCTTAGGACTAATCAAATGTCTGTAACTATAGTTTAGGTTATTTGGATGGTAAAAGAGTTATTGTTGTGGAAATATTTTGCGGAATGATGCATACTAGTACAATTAAATAGAGTATTGCTGTTTTTGAATATTTAAAGTCCTTTTTTTTAATTAAACTAATTTTAAGCAATGTCATCAACAAGAAGAACTAATTGGACATCTACAAAAAGAAGCCGAAACGTCATATTAAGAAAAAATGGCCTCTCTTATGCTGAAATTGCAGGACAAGTTGGTGGTTCAGTGACTTGTTCTGGTGCATGAAAGTTCTGTTTACGTTACGAAAAAAACGAAATCAGTGGAAAATAAAGCCAAATCAGGCCGAAAAAATGTACAAGTGCTACTGCCGATAGAAAAATTAAATGGCTATGCCTTCAAGAAAGAAAAATTTCATCAGGTACCATTAGATGTGAAATGAATGCAGCGGGCATTGCAGTAAGTTCAAGAACAACAATAAGAAGAATTAAATGGTCAGAAAATCAATGGAAGCAAGTAATCTGGAGCGATGAGAGTAAAATATCGCTCTTTGGTGGTGATTGTAGAAAATACGTGAAGCGTAGAGTAGGTGAAACACTTCATCCTGATTGCATTGAAGCAACTACAAAAAACCCAACAAATGTCATAATTTGGGCATGCATGTCTGCAGATGGTGTGGGCCTAATTCAAGTGATTGATGGCATCCTGAATGCCAAGAAATACATCGAAACTGTCCTGAAACCAAAGTTGATACCTTCCATCAGGGATCTCTTCCCCAACAACGCACCAATTATTTTTCAGCAGGATTCAGCTCCATGCCACACAGCAAAAGTATGCAAAGCATGGTTTCAAAATAAAGGCATAGATATATTAACATGGCCAGGAAACAGCCCTGATCTCAATCCAATTCAAAATTTGTGGCGACGTTTGAAAATTCTTGTACGAAAAAAAACGTCCATCCAATAAAAGATAACTTATTGAAGCTATAATTGATTCTTGGCACCATGTGATTACGAAAGATGAATTCCAAACACTTGTTTACTTGATGAAAAGATGCTGTGAAGCTGTCTTAAAAAATAAGGGTTATCCTACTAAGTATTGATTGTGTAAGTATCACTTTAAAGAAATGCAAATCTAAGATAGATCTTACTTTTAGTTGCATAACCTTTTTTTGCAATGCAGATATTGTAATAATGTACTTATTATTAAATTCTACATTAAATTACCTTCAATTTGATCTATAAACGTTTGTATTTAAGTGAAAATTAATATATTCTACATGCACACAAAGTTGAAAAACTTGAAACTTTCAAAAAATGTCCACACTTTTGGCCACCACTGTAATTCTGCAGAAAGAAAGGGGGGGGGGGAAATTATTTGTTTTTGTATTTTTTTTTCCGGCTATTTTTTGTTTCAACTCTTTCTTTACTCTGTTTTTTAAATTTAAAATCTATAAATAGGAAGATGCAGAGTATAACAGTTTTGATTATAACTATCATTTCAATTAGTGTTATTATAATGCTTTTTTTTAATTTATTGTTGCGTTTTTGTCGGAGAAAATAGTAACTTTGTCAAGTCATGAAAAATTCTTGGAATGAGTCATGGAAAATCATGAAAAGTCATGAAATTGAAAATCTAAAATGTAGCAGATACCCTGTATATATCAATTTCCATTAACAGCTTCCTTTTTTTTATTGCTTAAAATCTTTGAATGATTTAAAGAGTTGTGTTTATATTATATTTTATTTTACGTTCAAATTGTCCATAAGCAATTTATTTTTCATAATTCTGTATTATGTTCTGTATAATACAATAAATAGTATCATTTTCAAAACTGTTCAATGTCACTTTAATGTAATCTCTTTTTTTTTTTTTTTTTTTAAATTGCATTTAATCAACTTATGCAAAGATGCAAAAAACTTATAAGATATTTTGCATTTTTTCCCCAGTCTTATTATCTATAATAAAAAATTAAACGAAAAATAAAACAGCTGAATTTAACACTTTTCTTAAAATATTTCCTCAATAAGGTTTGGTCTCTGTCGTATGGGAAACAAAATCACAAATGACAAATTATGTGTGGAAATCTTATGTATGAATTATGTCTTAATTTGTTTTTATTCTAGTCGAAGAATACACATAAGCATTGAGAAAAATTTTATGTAATAGCTTTTTGGAAGATTAATACATAGATTAGATAGATAATAGATAGATTTTCTATTTATTTTTATCTATTATGTATTTGCTTTTTAATGAGCTACTAAATCAGTCACAAAGTTGTTCAAGGAAGCTGTTTTAAATATTGGTAGTTAAAAAATTTAGTTTCAAATTTTCCATTTTACCAATTCCTTCCCCTCTTTAGAAAATTTTTTTTCAGGAGCAAAATTACTATGAGTTATTGAGAATTTGATTAATGATTGAATGGAAAGTGTTCTTTTGCATGGGTTTCTTTTTAAGAAACCTTGATTAAGAGTTAAAGAACTAAGTGAAAAGTCAATATTGAAAGCTTGAAGGAATTGAAATTTTTCAAAAATAATTTTTGCTTTGAATCTCTCATTTTTATCCACCTCTATATCTCTTAACCATTTAAAATACTAAAAGGTTGTGAGTATTTATAAAATAAATAAATAAATAAAAAATTCGTTTTTCCTTATCTAATTTTGAGTCCAACGTTGTTTAAAAACAAGTGTTAAGAAAATAAGTTTCCCTCAAATATTATTTTCTTTATAACTTTGGACTAATAGTTAAACAATATTTTGAGATTAAATAAGAAACTATTTGTCAACACCTTAAGTAATATGTTTATTGCACGATAGAAAACTGAAAAACAATATTAAAATGAAAGTTTTTATTAACAATCAAATGCAATGATGCCTTATATATTTATACTTTTGGAAAGTGGTGAATTATTTTACCAATTGCAATTTTATCACCAAATTCATTTTTATCGAGTCATAATCACTTTGGTATGAAATTGCATTGAAAATTTGTAACTTTTTTTCCGTCCCACGATTGAATGAATAAAATTTTTTACAACCTTAAATTTGCTAAAATAGGTTTAGCAATGAAATGAAACAGTTTTTGTTATGTGGCTATTTGTTATTAGACAAACTTAACTTTTTCGAAACTTTGCTTAAGCTTATGTTTTTTATGATATTGAAATCAGAAAGGATATTTAGCTCCCTTTTCAATGTGTTTGGCAAATTAGACAATTGTCTTAATTTGGTGCATCTGGGATAAAAGATCTCTGTAATGAATCTCTCCCTAGTGTGAGTGATCTCTCCCCTGGTATCCCTTCAAAAGTGTGACATAGAACACGTATAATTTTATGAAATAAGAGGAGTTGAAAATATTCTGATCTCTGAAACAGGTGTGATGTTTATTGAACGGAATGCAGAAGAAAGAATTACACACAGCTTGCATGTACTTAGTTAATGATTCATTGCACACTATATCAAAAGCCCATTTGAAAATAAATAAAGTAGACAAAGTGTTATCATATATCTTAACCCCTTACCTGCCGAGTAAAATTTACGTGATTCACTCCCCAGTGACACCGTTTTTCGTTCAAGTGTGCTTTGTTACGCGCAATTTTGATGGGGTAAAAAGATGCACGCTTTGCAATTTAAAAACAGTTTACTTTCACGAGAGAAGAAAAAGGAAAAATAGAAAATGCAGAACTTAAATTAAAGAATAAAAATACAATATAAAAGATGTTAAAACTTAGCTCTTGTATGATAAATCCTGAAACATGGTTGGACACATAAACCAACATCACATTCATTGCACTGATAGCGGGATTCTCGACGAATATACACGGGAAACGAAAGCGAAAGGAGAATGAACCCGACCTTACTCAAATAGAAACACACAAGCAATAAATATTATATAACTTTTCCAACACATCCCTTTCCCAGTCCCCCTCCTCCAAAATTGGTAATACTTTAATTGCAAACACTTTCATTGGCAAACACATTCAAGGTCTTTTTACTGCATTCACAAGTCGGGGGTGTAGTTCTATTTATGGCAGCGCAATGCAAAACATCGTACTTCGGGAAACCGTATACATACGCCTGCGGCAGTTAACGCATCGCCTGACCGAGACGTATATATACGCCCGCGACAGTTAAGGGGTTAAATAAGCAAAAAATACATTGTCAACGATATTTTGAATTTATTCAAGCTTATGATTTGAAGCAAAAGTTCATCTACTAACGTTGAAGTTATGGAATGTTTTTGAACTCTTATCTTCTCTTATCTTATTATTGTTAAGTGTGTGATTTTTCTAAGGAATTTATATTTATACATTATTTTTTATTGATATGTAAAAAATAGGTTTTTCAAAGTTGTCTGTTAATATTTTTAAAAAATTTGATCTATTTATTCTGTAATTGTATGAAAATGCTTTTAAACTTTTAGGAGCCATTGTTGTAGAGAAACCAAATATAAAATGGTCTGATGTTGCTGGCTTAGAAGGTGCAAAAGAAGCTTTAAAAGAAGCTGTTATTTTACCTATTAAATTTCCTCATCTTTTTACTGGTAAAAGAAAACCTTGGAAAGGAATTTTACTGTTTGGTGTAAGCTGTATTAAATAGACATTTAAAACATTCTGTGTCCTCTAGTAACGCATAATGTTTTACACTATTCAATATTTCTCTTTTAGCCTCCTGGAACTGGAAAATCTTTTCTGGCAAAAGCAGTTGCCACTGAAGCAAATAATTCCACCTTTTTTTCTGTCTCATCTTCAAGTCTAGTTTCTAAATGGCTGGGGGAAAGTGAAAAGTAATTATTTTTATGATAATTTATTTAAAATTATTCCCCGTATTCTAATTTTTACAAATATGTATCTCTAACAACTGTAACTGGTAAAACTAAAGTTGTTGTATCTTTAAAATATGTTTGAACCATATTTTGTTGTATATTATGGTGTGTGTGATTTTAATTAAGATTTCAAATTTCTAAAAATTAAATCATAAAAATTCTAATCAATGAATAATTTTTAAGTTTAAAAAATGTGATGATGGAGTAACTTTTTAAATATTAAAAAAATGAAATGCTTTTCATTCTCACAGAACTGTAGCTTTTATTTATACAGGCATTTTATGACATTATCTTAATTAGCATTGATGACACAGGCTAAAGATAGAAACTTAACCTGGTGATAAATTATGGTCTGGATTTACATTGAAATTTTCCTGAAATACCTGGAGAAGTCGTGAATTTTTTTTTCTGAAATTAAGTGGGATCCTTAAAACTCCTACAATTTCATTACAGCAATTAAAATTTTATATTTTTTGCTAAGATGCTTATTTTAATATAATGACAGAGCCTTAAAATAAGATTTAAAAACTTTCAAAGTGAGAAATTGAACATCATTTTTCTTAAAATATTAGATTTGGTCAAGTTTATGTATATTTTAATAATAATAATATGGTTATAAATTTCGCTTTTTTAGCTATGCCAAAACTTTTTTGTCTATAGATGAAATCATATGTTAATAACATTCTTTTTCTCCCTGAATTTGAGCATACAACTGTATGTAACTGTTTAATAATACATAGAACCTTTTTATAGTCTTAACTATCTAGATAATGGAATAATATCTAAATACTTAGATTCTTCTAATATCTAAATATTCAGATTCTCCCTAAAAGGAAGTTTAACATTTATGTTAAACAAATATTTATTAATATAGGAAACTATACTTATGTAGTTTTTATTTGAGAAATAAAAAGTAGAATTGTATCTTTCTTTTGTGCCACATGTTAATAAAAATATAAAATTAAGCTATATGAAGCATACAAAGTTATTGAAAGAAAAAAAAGATAAAGTTGTTTATTCAACTAAGACATTTCTACATGAATTTATGAAATTGAACAGGAACTGACAAACTCATAAAAAATTTATTAAAAAAAGGTTTTAAATGTAACAATCCTTGTAAAATTATTACTAATTTAAAAGTGTTAATGAGTGGTATAGGTGTTCACATTTATTTTTTGTAAAATGGGATCACTCCTTTCATAAAAAATAAGGGTAGATTTTTCTACCAACTCCATGAAAATTTTAGAGAAAATTTTATAGAACTCTGTCTAGTAAAATCTTATACAATGCTAACTGAGATATATTTATTGCAAATTTAATAAAAGGTATGAGCAGATATAACTGTGTAAAAAGTAATTTTTAAATTCCTTTACTAACAAGCTTCAATTTTTTATACATTGCATGACTTGTTCATGTATTTTTTTGTCTCTTTTAAGAAATTGATTGCATGTCAAAACATGGTAAAAATGTACTCAAGGAAGAGAAGGAAAAATGCTTGCATTTATTAAGTTCAAGTCATAAATAACTACATAATTTTTAATTATGACTTCAATTTTATCACTTTTATAGATTAGTGAAAAATCTATTTGAAATGGGGCGACAACAAAAGCCTAGTATTATATTCATAGATGAAATAGATTCTTTGTGTAGTTCACGATCTGATAATGAATCGGAATCAGCCAGACGAATAAAAACAGAATTTTTAGTTCAGATGCAAGGTAATTTTTTTGTCTATATCTGTATGACTTTCCTGATTTCTATGTCATAAGTTTAAATTTCTAGTTTAATTTCTAATAGTATTTGCTTTCACTATTGAACTTTTTAACTTCTGTTTTTGTTATTAAGCTTGATATGTTTTTTAATATTTAATTTTGATATTTTATTTAAACTTTTAGTCTCATCTTCATATCAGGCTTTTTTAAAACTTTTACTAAATTTCTTATTTTATTTATTTTTATTTTTTATACATTCCAAGGATTATTATAAAAATGCATAATTGTCATTTTTTGTTCATCGCATAATTATGGCTAAGATTATCATGCTATTTATGCATTCTAATGTTTACTATATATTTTTTTAAAAAATAAATCACTTTTTTTCCCCTTTTAAATCTAGTTTTAAATGTCCTTGAAACTTTGAATTATGAACTTGTTTTTGTTTTTAAAAGTTCAAAATCTTTTTTTTTTCTTTCTAAAAATTTGTAATACAGTTAAATGTTTTTAAGTTTATAATCTGTCTAAATGGACCTTTATAATCAAGAACCAAATTTATGGTAGAATATAATATTAGAGAGTAAAACTTTTTGAAACATGACCTCCTGTCTATTTAGTATGTTGACGTCTGAAGTAAGTCAAATTGTTTTAAAGTGTTATCGTATGCAGAACACTGTGTTATTAAATTTTTTTTAATTTCAATATTAATATTCTTCATTCCTGTTTAGGTGTTGGAACTGACAATGATGGTATTCTTGTTTTAGGAGCTACAAACATACCTTGGGTATTAGATGCTGCTATTCGTAGGAGGTATTATGACTGTTTATGTGTTAAAACAGTGTTTTCTGGAGTTCTTTCAAGTCAGTGAGAACAGAGGAAATGTTGAACTGTCAGAGAATTTAATTTTGGCTCATAAAATCTGAGGGTAGTCACAGAAAGTTAAACTTAAGAGAAAATCTGCAAAACTTCGGCATGAAATTGATGATTAATATTAGGTTTTATCACCAATCATCAACTCTTAATAATCTTAATGAAACTCTTAGAATTAGCAATAGCACTGTGTAGCTATTCATATTCAAGTTAACTTTGACATCCATTGTAGTGTAGAGAACCGATTATCGGGACCATCGCTATTCCGGATAGCTGATTTTTCCGGTTTTCTGAATCGCTATGAAAAGCAGTTTTTTTTACTGTCAAACTCAACTAAAAAAATATATATATATGTAGAATAATTTAAAAAAACTCCTTTTGATAGTGTAAGGAAGTAATAATTATTTCTAAAATGATGGTAAACAACTTTTAAAGAAGAATTCTGAAATCTTTTGAGGAAAAAAAGATTTATTTTTTTTAATGACGGGAAAATCTATTGAATTTCGTTCCGGTTTTCTGGTATTCTGATTTCAGGATAAGAGATTCTGTACTGTATTTATTTCTTTTAAATATTCCGCATAGCAATGGAATTTTTACATCATGCAGTTAAACCTCTTTATCTTGAACCTCTTTATCTCAAAAGCCTCTATATCTCAAAATTTCTAAAATTCACTACATTTACCGTCTAAAATCAATGTATTTTCCATGTTTATGTTGAATTTTTTTTTCTCAAAATCTCTGTTTCTCGAATTTCTAATAATAGAGTACAAATGTCAAAACTTTCTTTATCAGTAGAACTTGCAACAGATATAAATGTTGTGAACCCACAGGAAGTAAGGATGAACTGGTTGGGGGTGTTTCTTGGGACTATCCTTGCACTATCTCTAACTAGAAAAGAATACAATGATTATGGCAGTAAGTGAGGAGTTAATGAGTAGTGACCAGACCATCAGGGGTTAGCTTTTCAACATAGATAAGAAAGCTAAGAATAGAAATTCATTTTCACCTCAAAATTGCAGCCAATGGATCAAAGGATAATTATGAGTTTTAAAGTGAACTATAGGAAACAGTTGGTACGCAAACTTGTAGATGCCATTGATCAAAAAAGTTCTTCCAATCAGTAAAACAGTAATGCTATCAGAATTACTGTTTTGCCTGGAGAAATGTGTCTCTAAAAACTATTCAAAATAGTTTTAAAAAACTGGTTTTAGGAATAGCCGTGAAGATCATGAACAAGAGGTTGAAAGCATTAGTAAAGAAGAAGAAACTGTTGACACTGAAAATACAGTGCCAGAATGGAAATCTGGATTTAATGTTGACATTAATTTTAACGAATTTTACAAGTGGACAACTACCTGGCAACACGAGGAACATTGACAGATGCGGAAATCATAGATAATGTCAAAGGAATATCAGATGATGAGGAAGAAGCTGAAGATCATATTGATGAACCAACAAAGAATGCAATAGAGGTAGAAAAAGCTGTAGAATTCTAATAAACTATTCTTGAATCCCAGGAAAATGTTGGCTATGAGGGATTTGTGCTCTTTCTAACCTTCAGAAGAATAATCGAAACAAATAAAGTTATACGTCAAACATCAAAAATCTTCACAAAATTACTTTCAGTGTTAAATGTATGTTAAAAAAATTTTTATGTAATTGGATGTATGTGGTATTATTAATTTGAAGAAATGCCTTTATTTTTCTACTAAAAACAATTAAAGCACTTTTAACAGGGTGCATAGCGTTTTTAAAAAGTGCTTAAATGTGCTTTTTTCATTGGGTGTTTTTAAAAAGTGCTTAATTTTTCCTTTTAAAAAAGTAGATTTTTCCTTTACCATGTTGATTTTCGCTAAGAATTATGCAGAAACACACTGTTCACATTGTTCTATTCAACATTTTTACAATTAATTCAACCCCAATCTATTTCGGTGTATCCTCAGTCCGTAGCGTATGAAAACGCCATTCGATTTATATGATTCAAAAATTTTGACAGTTGTCAAAAACAATGCCAAAAGCTTTCTTTTCTTTTTTTTTTGACATGACGTTTAAAACCAGATAAAACTGTCAATTGTCAAAAACTTTCCAATCCTACCAAATAGTGATTTTGATTAATGTGCTTAAAAATATTATTTGAGTGCTTGAAAAGTACTTATTTTTTGTTGAATAATTTGGCTATGCACCCTGTTTATTAGAATTTCTTAATTAAATTAAATTTTTTTAAAGTACCTGTATAGCTCGAAACCTCTTTATCTATGATTTTTTTGCCTTTCCCGTGAGATTCGAGATAAACAGGTTTGACTGTATTTTATTTTGGTAATCTTTTGTTTCTTGCAAAATCTCAATGTTTGAAATAATAAATTTTTAAAAAAAATCTTGCTCCGCTGTTATATAACCAAAATTTAGTTCAGGATTTTGTTGCTTGAAAACCTAAAGTCATAGGGAACATTATTTTTTTCAAATAAGTGGGAACCATGTGTGTTAAAAATTAATGTGTTTTAAGAATAATTATTTGTAAATTGTAGAACTTTTGTTTACTCTTTCTTTTTATCACCAAAAAAAAAATTTTTTTTTAGTTGTAAAATTATTTATTACCTGTTTCCAAACTAGCTTGTCTTTATTTAAACTTTTTAGTTCTTAATTTCTTGTCTATGACAGGTTACATTGTTAACAGAGAATTATTTTTACATTTAGGTTTGAAAAAAGAATATATATTCCTTTGCCTGAGGAAATGGCTAGAACAGCAATCTTCAAATTAAATATTGGTGACACACCAAATGAATTGAATGAAGATGATTTTAAAACTCTTGGCAAAGAAACTGAAGGGTAGGTCATTGAAAAATTCTTTCATGCATATTTATATTTTTATTTGTGTGCAGAAATATAAAGTAAAAAATATAGAGAAAACATGAAAAATAATAAAGATTAATGAAAAGAGATGAAAAATTATGAAAATAAAATATTTTTAAAAATTGAAGAAAAATTAAAAAATTTATTTATTAAATAACCGTAAAACAAAAAAAAATGAAAGGATATCTCTTCATCAGCTCATGCGATTATATCCACTAAAAGGAGTGTTTTCTAATATTGTATCAATACAGTCAAAGCAAAATATATCAATGCATTAGTACAATTACATGTGGGTGTAATACTTAGCTAACTAAACCTGGCACCATTTTCTCTAACTACTTAAATAAAGTTAGTAACAATATTAAAGAAGTTTTTTTTTGGATTATCACTAATAATCAACCGCTTTTAGAATTTATTGAACAAAAGAAAATTAATTCGATTGCCACATTTGATATCCAGGATCTTTTCAATAGCATTCCCCTTTCTGAACTAAAAGATGTTCTTTTGAAATATTACTATGATTTTAAAAATATCATTAATTGCAATTTTGATTACTGGAAAATTCTAATTAATTTTTGTCTCTTTAATAATTATCTTTACAATGGAAAAGATATTTTTATTCAAATTAATGGAATACCACAAGGATCTAATTTTTCATCTCTCTTAGCTAACTTATTTTTACTCTCTTATGAAAAAAATTGTACTCTTAATATTAAATTTGTTTTTAGATTTATTGATGATTTAATTATCTTTAATTTTCAAGATTATGCAATTTTATTAAATACTATTTACTCCAAAGAAATAATCTTACTTCGTAATCATAAAGATAATTTTAATTTATTGAATTTGGGTATTAAAAAAAAAAAAGAAAATATCTGCTTTGTTGATTTATACAATAAAAGAGATTATTTTAATTTTAATATAAATAAACAAATTACTTGGAATCCTAATGTTTCTAAAAACACCTATTTAAATACCACTTTTAATCAAATGAATAGAATTAAAAGAATGTGTAGTAATGTTTATTTTTCAAAAAAACAAATTGACTAACTCTTTCAAAATTTGATTTGAAAAAAAAAACAATGGATACCCAACTAATGTAATTAAATTCTATATAAAATCATTAAGTTAATTGTATGTTGTTATTAATAGATTTACTCAAAACTTCTTTGTTATATTATATTTTGCCTGCAAAACCAAGTCAGGCAAATCTGTGGCTGAAAATCTATGCAAAATGGGCAAATCATGTTTCTCTCTTCTTTTTTTTAAAAAAATAAATGTTAATTTTCTAAAATCATTAAAATTGTATAATTAATAGCTAGTAATTTTTGTTAAAAATTTACATGAACAATTTTCTCCCTTGATCATTAATTCATTAGCAGCTATGGGGGCTGATGAGATAAGTGAATAATTGATGGTGGAGCCTCCTAGAATTTTTAAAAATAGTAACTTTAAGAACTTCAACTTTCAACTATTGATATATTTTTAATCAAGTATCAAATGATTGCTAATTTTATTTAAATGATATTTTTATTCTTCAGTGTAGCAGAAGAAAATTAAATTGATTTTCAAATCTGTATTTTTTAATAAAAAATATTTTTAAAAATATTTTTTTATATTGTATTTCTTTTTTCTTTTATAATATTTTTGAATAAAACATGATTACTGCAGCCAGTCAGAAAAAATTAAGCTATATATATATATATTATTAAATTTGTTCTTACAAGTCACATTCTATTCAAACTTGTGCCTTACTAGTTACATTTTGGTATATATAACTTTTCACAACTTATACAAAAAAAGGAAATGTTCTCATAATATATATACCTTGCTTTCAAAAAGCAAAATTTCTTTAACTTTGTGTATCAGCTTCTCTATTATATTTTGGTGATTCAATATTTAAGCTTTTTTTCTTAATTCAAGGTTTTCCGGTGCAGATATATCAGTTCTTGTACGGGACGCATTAATGCAGCCTGTGAGGAAAGTCCAAACAGCTACACATTTCCGAAAGGTTTCTGTTCATCTATTTTACATTCACAAAAACTGATTTTATTTTTACTTAATATCAGTAAATTGCAAAAGTTTGTGACTAAATTGAATTACACATATAAAAAAAAATGTAGTTGTGCTGCCCGAGTGAGATTACAGAAATATCTGACCAACAAATGAATCTAGATAAGTACTGTTGGCCACTGTCTTAACTCAATGTTTAAAGCCAAACAAAACATTCTCATTTGTAATAAATATATATTTTGAGGAAAAAGGGTTTATTTCATGTGGTTGCACAAACTTTTGCAGTGGCCTGATATTTGTCTTTTAATACGCCTGCTGTGCTTTGATTGTTCTGCAATATTATTTCACCTTTATCTAAATAAAAGAACTTATGTTCGAAAGTAATTTCTTTTAGTTGCAAGAATTTGGTTGGAAAATAATTTTTTTTAACAACTTGTTTTTGCTTATTTATTTCAATGGCATTATACTTTTTTATTCCTTTTGCATACTGAGAAATGATATGACAATTTCAGAAGTCAGAGCAATCTGTCATCACAGTTTTGCAAAAGGTTCATTGCTGCTATTTTATACAATGTTGCTATGCAATGTATGTTTTTGCAGAAGTGTAAGACCTTATCATTGAACCTTTTCAATTACAGATTTTGCTAACTACTTGCTCATAATAATTGACAAGTAATCATTTAGTTGATTATGAACTTTAACTTACGTAAAAATAAAAAAATATTTGAGACATAATTTAAAGATAGGGTGTGAATGTACTGAACAGCTGTATAGGTTTTTTGTTTGTTCTCTTAAGCATTTAGTATTGTAATTGTGAGTTTGATTCTAAAATAATTAAATCTTATCTAATTTAATATTTGTATTACTTCCATAGTATCTTAAATGCTATCATATATAATAAATTATATTAATAAAAATTCTATTCAATTATCTCATTATGATGTTGTGACATAAATAAAATATTAAGTAGTAGTTAAACATAAATATTAAAATTTGACGTATTTTCGTAACAAGTACTGCTTTTGGTATATAGTAAAAAAAAACTTTAAAAAAATCAATCAATAAAAAATACTGTAGTTATTATTATTTTTTTTAATGAACGTTGAAAAGGGGGGGGGGAACTTATTCTTGATTCCATCTGGAAAATTTTACTCTTGACACAAAGTCAAAAAGATTGTAAGAAGGAAGGAAAAATTATTTGAACTTACTTCGCCATTCAAATTATTTGCTTTTAAACGTCAGACCTAAGGTAGGGGGTGCCTCTTTCTACCCACGGATCAGACGTGCCAACCAAGGAAAATTATTTTTTAGTCTTGTATCAGTTATTTTTAGCTTCATTGCCAATAATTTCAGCTTCCTTGCGGCTCAACACAACAAATTCACACTGCACACAAGGAAGATAAAAGGGCCATCAAGCAGGTTTTAGGCGTGTCTGAGATTCTGAAGAAGAAAGTTTAAAAAAAAAAGTGGTAAGCTCGCTGAAAATCGGTGACATCAAATTAGAATTGTTTTGTTTGGTACAATGCTATAAATATCTTAGAGTGTACTCATTTAGCAAACAATTTTCCCACTTTTTCTTAGATTTAATAAGGGAAATAATTATTGAACATAAATAGTATCAGAAGTAATGAAAAAAATTTTTAAAAGTATCACGTACATACTCAATTTTTTATAATAAATAAAGATATTTTGACTCATAAATATTTTGAAATATGTTGATATATTTTAGATGCAGTTTAATCATTTTTCAAAGTTATGGCGAACAAAATAATGCCTCCTAGGCACTTGGTCTGTCCGGACATGTGATTCTTCCGCAAATCAATAATTTATATTCCAACAAAATTTTCTCGGAGCTCCGCTAATCTAAAATTTAATTTTTGTTACTTACGTCATCAACGAGGCATTTATTCCTCACTTCCGAGCACCCTCTTTTTTTCTAAGTTCTCATTCACGTACGATGGCAGGATTTTTTTTACGCAGATTTGTAAAAGAAAAATGCAGCTTCAACGAGAAAAATTCATTAATATAAGGCTAGAATTAATACACTACTGCGACAAACACAAAAATATAAAATTGGTAATATTAACAAAGTAATTTTGAAATTGTAAACATTTAAAAGATTGTTCGCTAGAAAAAACTTATATTTTAATGAGTAGCAATTTTGTTGAAAATTCCAATTTGTAACAGAATTATTATTTAATCAATGTGATACATTTGCCCTCTTTTTTATTTGTCTATAATTAGATTGAATTCATTTTTAATCAGGGTTTGTTGATTTAAATCAGCTTGATTTAAATCACGATTTAAATCATGTATTAAATCAAATGATTTTTTTTTTTAAATCATTGATTAAAATCAATTATTTCTTTTTAAATATATATATTGATTTTAAAAGTTAAAAATCAGTGGTTTAAATTATTGATACTTCTATTATTTTGTTTTCTTAGTTTTAAAATTTATTTTAAATAAATTGCTGCATTAATTAATTTTAGTTAACGAAATTACTTTCGTTCTTGGTGTTTGTTAAATCCCAGCACATTTGAAATTACATTTTTAAAAATGTTTTGATTCTTGAGATTGAAAGTACAGATTTAAGTTATCATTTAATGCTGTCTTAATATAGACTTGCATAGCTGTAGAAAGTAATTAATAAGCATGATTTTTTTTTTCAAAAAATAATGCAAATAATGTTAATTAAAATTCCACCTTTTGAATGAAAAAGCGTGGAATTAAAATCTACATTATATTTTATTGGTGGAAAATGTATATTTCTGAATTCTGATATTCTATCCATATATTAAAAAGAAATTACCCTAATATGCCAAAAGTAGAAAAAGAAAAAAAAAAAAGGCTAATGAATTCAGATATTTTTCTCCTGATATAGTGTCATTCTTCTCTTCAAAGTCTATTTGAAGCAGTAGGGTTATAATATGTTTACAGTATCTTTGACATTATCTGATTTTCTATAAAGAAATTTTGTGAAAAAAAATTCCAATGAGTACATAGAATTTTTAAAAAAAAATTTTTAGCTTAACTTATCTATTTTGATATAGAATTAAAAATAATTATTTTTTGATGAATGTCTACATTTATAAACACAATCTGTTATATTTTGTCATTTTAAAAATCAAGGAAAAAAGAGAAGAAATCACAATTTTAAATTAAAATTATGGTTTACTAATTGAAACTTTGTTTTAATAGTTAGCGGTGCCTTCACAAATTCAACTTTAGGAAAAACGGTAGAATAATTTGACAAAATAATTTTTTCTTAAAATTTTATTTTTGTGTCTAGTAAGAAAACGATAAATCCATATTTTTACCATATTTGTGTTGATTTTTTGATCTGATTTTTAATTTTCACAAATTATGTCTGAATTTTCACAAAATAGGTATACCTCTCAGAAAAACCTAGACAGACCCCTGAAGAATTCTTTAAATTTTCTATTTCATCTACTCTTTAAATTTCAATTATGCATTTATTTCAGAATGGTTGCTATGCATTCAAAGCTATGTATTATAATGAAAAATTATTTTAGTAAGTTAGAGCTTCTAAAATATTGTTATAATATAGTTTTAATATTAATTTAATTTTGATTAAACATAATCATAAATGAAAGTTCTTACAGTGTATTTGAATAAAAATCAAAAAAATCTGATTTAAATCAAAAAAATCCGATTTAAATAAAAAAAAATCTGACTTTTTTGATTTTTTTTAAAAAAATCACGAACCCTGTTTTTAATATGATATTACAGCATGGAAATCTTGAATCATGTATTTCAATAATCACTTTTCAACACACAATAAATTCGTGTTTCAATCTTATTATTAGATAATATAAGAAAAAATTTAATTTTCTCTTTTAATTTTTTGGATCTTACTTTTGTGCATAAAAATTACAGTCTTTTAAAAATCTTCTATGTACAAGAGAAGAGAAAAAATTTAATATACTAGAAAAGAAAACTGCACATTGAGAAAAAAATTTCAGATAATTTTTTCTTCACGTATCTGTCAGCCCATTGCCTCATTTTCAGAAGATAAAGAAAAATTTTTTAACTGGTTTGAGTATCATCAGATAAATATCTAAATGGTTGCAGAATCATTTCTAGTTTCAGTGTCACTTGTAAAAAAAATTCTCATTCCGGATCCTTATCGTTTCTTGAAATTCAATCCTTGTATTCAGATTTAACAAGCATTTTTATGTTCCCAGAGTTCTCTGTTGTGTACAGGTCCTACTGTATTTTATTGTGATAGATTTGTTACTAATTGTTTTTCTTCTTCAAAGGTAAGAGGTTACTCTCGAACTGACCCAACTGTAGAAGTCGATGACCTCCTAGAACCCTGCTCCCCAGGTGCACGTGGAGCAATAGAAATGTCTTGGGTTGAAGTGCCTGGTGATAAATTAAAAGAACCTAAAATTACAATGGTAATAGAGTTTTTTATTATTTTAAATTATTTTACTATAATTTTTGTTTTATTTCTATATTATAGCACAAGCAACTAAATTTTAATTTATGGAGATCAAGTATTTTGTTTTTAAAAAATTATCAAAAAATTATTTAAAAAAAGTACTGAAAAAATATGCAACCATAGCAACTTCATGACTGCTTTACCAAACAACTAGTATTAAATCAGGTTTTGGTTGATATGAATTCTTATAAAGTTCTTAATTATATTTTTAAAAAAAGGACTGTACATTTTCCTTATTTTTCGTATAAAATCTTAAAATATTTTTTACTATCCATCTAAAGAGTCTTTCTGCTTGTTGTTGTAGTTAAAATATTGAATTTAATAGTTTGCAATAATTACCTCTACTTTTTTTTCATTTTAAGTGTGAACCCCATTTATAAATATTTTTTGATTGCATTGTACTTTCTTAATAGCAGTAAAAATAAATTTACAGTAAAAAATAAGTTTATCAATATTATAAGAAGGTTCTAAGATATACTTTTATCTTTTTAAATATAATAGAGAACCAATTATACTTGATGCTCGGGATCAACACTATCCCGATGTCTAAATTTCACAGTTTTCTGGATCGGCCAAAAAAAGTGTAATTAATCCATGTTTTATCAAAGTGAAATTACAATGAAAAAGAGTAACACATTTTGAAAAAAGAAAAGGTATCCTAAATTTAAAAGAAAATGGAAGAAAACTAACATTTAAAAGAATAAAAACCTTTACAAGTTTAGACAAGTAAAACAAGTTTGAAAAATGCAAAATTCACTTCTTTATTTTTGTAGATTAATTAAAATCACCAAATTAACTGATATAAAACAAATTCAATGACTAAAAATACAACATATTTCAAACCTAATTATAAGGAGAAAGGAAAACTTTTTAATCTAAATAAAAGCAACACTTGAAAATTACCAAATGGAAGCGATAGTAAAAAAGGCAAACATAAATATTAAATCCCCAGACAAGGCAGTATATTATAAGATCAACTAAATTTTAAAAAAGAACTTAATCTTAAAATTTATGAACAAAAAGAACTAATTTTTTGTGAACAGTGAAAAAAAAAAACTCAAAAATTAGTGGAATCAGAAATGTATCACTTTTAAAAGAAGAAGGCTGCAATCTGCTTCATAAAATTATCTTCTGCTATTACTAATAAATAATTGCACGCTTAGATTAATAAACAATCTCCTTTTATTTTTTTTTATAAAAGCAAACACAGATGTGATTTCACATCAATAAAAACAATTTGTCATAATAAATCAAGAATAACAAAAACTGAGTAACTGAAGTAGATTTTTGAAAAATAATCTAATTTGTCAATACTCTTGAGGCAAAAGGTTCAAGCTCCTTAACTCGGACATCCAATTGACAACACTCAGAAACAATGAAGAATAATAGCAGAATCTTGAAGATGGGTGGTTCGGATGATTGATTTTTTTTTTTTTTTTAAATCCCCTGTTACAAAAGAGCACGTTATGAAAAACGGACAAGTGAAATCCAACAATCTGATCAGCAGTCGAATTCTCTGACAATGACAAGTCCCGGTTTTGGGGTAAAATTGCGTTTTTCCCTAATAATTCACTGACATTTTTTATTGTATCTTGTTTTCCCTGACAATTCCCGGGAATTTGTCATTTTACTTTCGGACAATACTGTTGTCCAATTTTCATTCCCAATTCTAAATTTTACAGGATCTGAATTTAGAAAAAGATTCATACGTATTTATATAAAAAGAAATAAGTTTATTTCTTTTTTTTAAACGTCATGTTTCTTATTAGAAGTGGCGAAACTTTGTCGCATTTTTAATTGTATAAAACTGTTGTTCCAATAATATGAATTGACAAATAAATGAATTGATATATTAATAGACTGATAAATAAATCAAGTATATTTAATGAATCTCATTTTACTACAATTATGTTTCTCCCTACCCCCTACATTTATTTTTCCTCTTTTCTATGTACATTTCATACAATTTCTACATTTGTTTTAATTTATGACAAAATGCACTTCCCTATGCTTGTTTTGCAATCATTATATTTCTCTATGCTAAAAAAAAAAATTTTTTTCCAAATCTAAAATAATTCATATTTTTTATAATATTCATATTTTTTATATATCTCAAGAAATTTCACTATTCATTTAAACCTACCATCCGTTGTACCAAATTTTTTTTCTTCCTATTTTATTGAAATCACTTTTAGTTCAGTTTCTATTTTTTAAAGAAATATTATTAAAAAAAAGCATTGCTCTTACCATAAATTTAATCGTCATCAAATGATTTGATTTATTCCTTTTGCACCTACTCAATTCAATCTCGTATAAATAATACATAAATAAATGTTAGTTATATTATACAAAAAATACAGTAGGGAACCGATTACCTGGAACGATCGGGACCATCACTATTCCGGATAAAAGATTTTTCCGGTGTTTCTGAATCGCTACAAAAAGCCGTTTTTTTATTGTTAAACCCAACAAAAAAAATTTTTTTTGGAAATAATCTTGAAAAGAAGAAAAACAATGAAGGAATACACTAATGATTATTTCCAAAATGATAGTAAGGTAAACATCTTTCAAAAAAGAAAGAAAAATCCTAAACTCTTATGAGGAAAAAAACATTTTTTTAAAAATGGCGGGAAAATGTATCGAATTTCGTTCCGGTTTTTTGGTTTTCTGATTCCCGGATAACGGGTTCTGTGCTGTATTTTAATAAATTCATAACAAATTAGTGATTTTTAAGCTCTGAAATATGACTTAGAAACTCATTAATGCATTCTGATAAATATTTACAAATGCATTCTTATAAATATATACAAAATATAAAAAAGGTATTTAATAGCAGTCATTTGAAAAAAATTTCCACTTTTCTTTACATTGTTTTAAAAAGTTAGCAATTTTAGACAAAGTGTATAAAAAGGGTTAATTCTTTATAACATTTCTTCAAATCTTAAAATTAAATTAATCTATTTTTTTATTTTTAGGTTCTTAAATTAATGATTTTTTTCATTATTTTAAGCAAGCACTGTGACACTTATTTGCATATCATTTTATTTTGTTCCAGATGGACATGAAAAAATCACTGTTGCAGGCTAAACCTACAGTAAATGAGGCCGATCTNGATAAAACATCGATTAACGACACTTTTTTGTCGATCCAGGAAACCGGGAAATTAAGACATCCGGGATAGCGATGGTCCCGAGCATCCCGGATAATTGGTTCTTTATTGTACAGACATTAGTATTTTTATACATTAGTATTGAATTGGTTTTTTAAAATAAAATAGTTATTCAATTTGTTTATTTTTTAAAAGTTTTTGTGCATTTTTATTACAGTGTCAAGGGTTTTTGAATAATGTTTTATTAAGGAAATGGTATTTATTTAAAGAGTATCTACCTAATATAGTTTTGTGTTGCTAAATCTGTGTTTAATTATTTTATTTCCATTTAATATTTTTAAACAATTATTGCTCTATTAGTGTGTAAAATTTCTTGCATTCTTATATTTAATAAATTTTTTACTTAAAATTCCTTAGAAGTGCCAAATGTTGCATACCATGCACCTTTTTTTACCCCTCCTGAATTCTTGTTAGGGAAACTCCTGAATGTTAATTTTGCTAGGTCGGCACGTCTGAACTTAGTACAGTTGCTATTCTTTTAAAGAAATATTATAAAACAAACATGTGAGACCTGGACAATGACCCGTGGAGATGAAAATATGATAACTAGATTTGAGAGAAAAATACTGCGAAGCATTTTTGGTGGAATAAGTAAAAACGGTCCCTGGTTTAGAAGATCAAACACTGAACTTTACAAAGCATATAAAGAACGTGATGTCATTAAATTTGTCAAAATTCATAGGATTAAATGGGCAGGCCACATTATGAGAATGGAGCATAGCAGGACAACCAAAAAAGTTTTTAGTGCCAGACCAACAGGTACTAGAAAAAGAAAGGACGACCAAACCTAAGATTTTTAGACTGCCTTGAAATGGACCTACAAGTTTTAAGGATTATAAACTGGAGAACCTTGGCTAAGGGAAGAATGTATTGGCATAGGTTTGTTGAGAAGGCCAAGGCCCATCCTGGACTGTCGTGCCAATGAAAAGAGAAGAATTATAAAACAAAGCATTGTTGTTACTATTAATTTAATCGTCATTAAATGATTTGATTTATTCCTTTTGCACCTACTCAATTCAATCTCATATAAATAAAACATAAATAAATGATAGTTATACTATACTAAAAGTAGTTTAATAAATTCATAACAAATTAGTGATTTTTAAGCTCTGAAATATGACTTAGAAACTCATTAATGCATTCCGATAAATATTTACAAATGCATTCTTATAAATATATACAAAATATAAAAAAGGTATCTAATAGCAGTCATTTGAAAAATTTTATCACTTATCTTTACATTGTTTTAAAAAGTTAGCAATTTTAGACCAAGTGTATAAAAAGGGTTAATTCTTTATAACATTTCTTCAAATCTTAATAAAATAAATTAATTTATTTTTTTATTTTTAGGTACTTAAATCAATGAATCTTTTCATTGTTTTAAGCAAGCACTGAGACACTCATGTACATAACATTTTATTTTGTTCCAGGCGGACATGAAAAAATCACTGTCACAGGCTAAACCTACAGTAAATGAGACCGATCTAATCAAGCTAAAACAGTTTATGGATGATTTTGGTCAAGAGGGCTAAAAAGAAAATGAGGGTAACTATCAGAATTTTATTAATTAACTGAAAAGAAGCGTGATGGCTTGGGATAGAGGTTCACCTACCTATTAGGTAAACCGTGTACGAATCCCAACGGTTTCCGGCTTGCACCGACCACAGCATATATTCTCAGTGTTAGATGGATCATAAGTTAAAAGTCCCCTTGCTGTCAGGCTAACTGTGGGAGATTTTTGTGGTTTTCTCTCCATGTAACTCAAAGCGGGTTAGTTCCATCAAAAAATCCTCCGTGAAGGTAAATTTCTCCCAATATTTTATCCAGGAGTTCCTAGGTCAACTGAATTGGGTCAGCTCTTCAGCGATGGTTACATAATTTAAAATAAAATAAAAATGTTCATCTTCAGCAGGTTAAATGGCAAGGATAGTTAAACAAATGATTTAATCCTAAAGAGATTATGATATACTAAAGAGATAAATATACAGTTAAAGATAAAACATTTGAATGGCAAAAAATTAAAAAAGAAAAATAATGATTTCCAGAGGTCTTTCTCTCCATGTATCACAAATAGAAGTTAGTTCCATCTAAAAAAATCCTCCACGGAGACAAATTTCTCCCAATATTGGATCCAGGAGTTAACTCGTTTTTTGGATTGGGTTCAAATTTACAAGACTGCTGAGTTGAACATTAATAGTCGTAAACCAAAAAAATTGTGTCGGCTGTTCAACAAGTTATAAAAAAATTGACTGAAAAAATTTTTATCTTAATTTAACTTTCTTTGAAACATGCAACTTTAGTTTAAATCAGCTTTTGTTCTATCTTTTATAATTATGCATGGTAATATACAGCTGAAAATGTTTATTGTAACTTCTTTTGATAATTCTGTATTAGCTTATGATATCTATTTCAATCCCAAATTACAATATCTTTTAGCATGTTGCTACGAAGTTTTTGATTATTTTGAGCTCTTTAAAAAAAGAGTAATACTTATTATGTTTTTAAAAACAGTGTAACTTTTATGTTTTTAAAAACAGTGTATCTTTTATGTTTTTAAAAGCATCTTTCATGTTTATACAGTCATGTGATTTTTGAAAGAAGAAATCCTCTAACATTTTTTTTCCGATGTGTAAGTTTTATATTTTAATACTTAATTCTTTTTGTGCATAGAAGATAAATTAAATTTAAAGCGGGGAAAAAAATGTATCTAATAAAATTTTTCTCATCAGCATAACAAAAGAATATATATATTCAAAAAAATATTATTCCTTTTTTGCACCCAAAAAGACAAAAGAATTTTAAAATTTGTGAAATCCACGGTGATAAAACTACCTGTATTTACGACAAAATCTCAGAAATCAGACGCTCTTTTAAAGAGGGTGCTGGTAAGTGTGATATAAATAGCTTGTTAATGAGATTTTGCATGAGTAATGAAATTTAATTGTTGGATTAGTGGAACTCTGAGCAATTCTGCGAAGAATCACATTCCTGCATATATCAATGCATTAATTATTTAAGCACAATATGTTACGCTGTTATACACAATAGAGAAAAAACACGCTACAATTTCTTGAATTTTAGAATATTTTGAGCAAATTTTATTGAAAAACTGAACATTTCATCATAAGTTGAATAATGAAATATCAATTAATAATGCTCTTAAAAATTATCCAGCTGTTTGTGGAAGTGTGAAGAGTTGATCGTGATAATGTCTCTGTTTGGCTCTCTATTGCTAAAAATTGATTTTGTTTAAAAATTTGTGTGTTAATAAAATCAGGTTTGGTAAGGTTAAATTTTAAAATTAGCTAATCCTAAAATATTTATTTCAAGGGTTAATTCTTCAAATGTATGGTTTAGTACAAATACAATACATTTAAAATTGCAATAATTGAACATCAGTTCCTTTTTAAAAAATAATATGGTAAAATTCAAGCTTTAATAAAATAATTTTCTAATAAATAAAATGAGTATCAAATATGCCGTCTAGTTGCAATATTTGCCAATTGCATTTTTTTGGGGAGGGGAGGAGTTTAGTGTGAACATACTATTTAAACTTTCATAGCTGCTGTTTTTTTCCGCTCCAAAAACCATAGTTTTTTCAACCAAAAACCATAGTCCATTTTATAACCATAGTTGGTCATTATGTAAAAATAATCAACAAGAATATAAAAGAAATAAAGAAAAACCGTAGAATACTCCCTCTAGATAACAAATTAAGCAAACTAAAAATTATGTTAATTAATTAACTTGCAATGTATGACTATTATGCTTTCATTTATTAGAAAACTAAAATAAAAGCTAATATATATATTTTTTTAAATAGGGCCTTTATAAATTTACTAATGTAAATTTGAAGCATGATGACGTCCATGAAATGTAAAGCACTTAGTTTAATCCTACACCTTCACAGGAAATATTATATATTCTTCTTAGAGAAAAAATATATGTAAAAATTCCTCTTGCTGACAATTTACATTTTGCTCTTGTAGATATTGCTCTAATGTTATTATTTTAACAAGTTTAATTTGCTTTACTTTTATTGTATAAAGACTGTACTCTTATTCTCCCGAGAANTTATTGATAATACTTATCCTTGAAGGTAAATAATTGGATTGTGATTTTATTTTCAAATTTATTGTATGCATATTAATACAATCTAAATGTAAGCTGAATAAATCTTTTTTTTTTCATTATTTTGCCTTGTTATGTGACAATAAAATATATATTTGTAATTGTTTTTTTACTGGTGTATTTGATGAACAAATTTTTAAAGAAACAGTATTATTCTATCATTACCGAATTTCATTTTAAATAATTTCATCATTTCTCATTCATTGTATTATTAAGAAAAAAATATTAAAATGCAAAAATACAATGGAGCTTGTATAAAGAGACGGTGTTTTTAAAGGCACAGACTTGTTATTTCATTAACTTAACAAAGCTAAGCCTCTGAGAGAGACAAGACAACCCTTTGTAAACAACCAATATACAGCTTTCTTGTTCTTTTTTTTTTTATTTACCTAGCATTAAAATGTACAGGCAACAAGTGCAAGACACAACAACTGAATTACAGTGTGGCTAAAATGGGATAATGACCAGATAGGATACTGTACATTACAATTGATTCAGTAGCAATTCCTGTAAGCTAGAGCTTTAAACATGTCTTAAACAACTGATTCAAACATAAAAGCAGTGCACTGAAGTGATCGAGTCACATTACAAACAAAGTTGGTGGTATGTTCTTATTTTTGGGGTAAAAACCAATTCAACAAAATTTTCATAAGGTAGAAGGAGAATAAGGCAAAAAAACTTCAAGCTTCTAAATTATGTTTAAAAAATTGTTTGAACAAACAGTTGTTTTTAATGGGGTTTTTTATTAATACAGGATGTGATTATTTTGAAAATCTAATGACGATAGTTCTTTAGATTATCACTCTTATTAATTTATTCACAGAATAGAGGATGGTCACTCGAAAAGTTTCACTGTACCTTTTTTTTTCTGTTCTGTTACTTTCATCCTCGTTGATACAGTGGACTGTAATTTGAACGTGGGTTGATCAAAATGACTAACTCCTGCGGAATTTCCTACTCACACCAATGTTAAAATTTGATCTTTGAATTCAAAATTTACGCCACAATTTTATTATATTGAAAGTCTAATACTTTAGAAATCTGAAAATTTTACCAGCTCCTAAAACTTGCTGAAATCATTTTTCTATCAATTAATTTTGAAATTTAAGAATTTAAAAAGTATGTGTGTAGAAGTAAGCCAATTAAGTGTACTGATAAATAATTTTGATAGTTTAATTTTAAAAAAAGTCTCACTACAAATATAAGCAAGCATACATTAAAAAAACATTTTATTAGATGTGACAAAAAAGGCACTTACACACATTCAATATTTACAGTTGTGATTACATTCTAACATTTTTACATAAAATAAAAGGACAAAAATTCTCACTAGCCATTATTGGACATACAATGTTTCTAAACGAAATGGCTCCAGTTTTCTGAATATACATATACATACATTACTACTTAATGGCTATTCATATTGAAACTTAAAAAAAAAAAATTACATTTATGTGGGGGGAAAAAGCAATTTAAAACAACTAATTATTAAAACATGTCCTTTTTTTACATTGCATGCAACAGTTCATTCAAGATACAGTAACTTTGGCATCATATACAAACAAAAATGGAATTTTAATTTATAGCTTTGTATCTTGGACACGTGGTGCATCTTTGTCTTCTCCCAGGGGCACATCAGTGAAGGGTACCAACCACCCCTCATTATCATCCAAACTACACACTTTATTTCCATTCATAACTTTTTCTTTTAATTCATCTTGTAATATAACAACAGCAGGATTCAAATCCAATCCCATCGCTTCTTGCATATTTCTGTGCAATTTAGTCTATGAAAATAATAACTTTTATCAGTTCTTATAAAATTTGCTTTTATTAAGTCATTTTTAAAATAAAATAAGCTCCGTAGTTAAACTATCAAGCACAGATCAATGTGTGCACAACATACAACTCTTATTTATAAAAAAGCATTAAAATTATGAAAGAAATTCCATTTTGCAATTGGAGAGGACACAAAATAAATAAAATGATATCTTTAGTAAATAATTCTAATTGTATGAATTATTTGTATTCTATGCATTATACTTCAAAAATTCATTTATTTAAGAAAAAAAAGACTTTGTAGCCAACTTACGTATTTAATTATCATCTTATAACTCATTTGAATTTAGTACTACAATATAGTACTATATTTGAATTTATTAGGTTCAAAAAAAAAATACTAGGCTACTGTAGTAAAATTACATATCAATCGAAAATTGAGGTCTAGTACAATTTTCTTATGATTTGTAATTTTCTTTTAAACTTATATGTAATTAAATACTGAATAATAGAACAGGTGGACACAGAGTTAACAGTTTAACACTATGTTTTCATGGTATATACAAAGAATCAAAATAAAAAAAACTATTGTAACTTCCTTCTGACCATTTTGTGGATTATCCATGATTGTCATACCTCCCAATAGCAAAGAAAGATCAGGATTTTATCATAAACTGTAAATTTTGCTTAGCTGTAGAATAATATGTTTTGAGTAAGAAAATTACCTCAGCATTATGTTGTGAATATTTAAATGCCAAAAATTATTGTAAATAAACCAAGCAAAATACATATTTTTAGAATTTTAATTGTTAAATAATTTGGTTGAATATTATTTATATTTCTAAGTTATGATAATTTTTTAGTTTTATTTGAAATCCTATATTACTTGCGCTTAATAGACATTCAGGAATCAATACAGGTTCATTTTAACTTGAGAGTATTTTATGAAGAAACTTTCAATAAAATCCTTCTGGGAAAATGAATATGTTCACAAGGATAAGTTCAAGAATCTTATCTTCACAAAAACTGAACTCTTTTATGCAGCAATTTGACAAAAAAGTCATATGCTGACAATAAACTGTTATATTTCATAAGGAAATGTTCACCATTAAAGAAGTTAATTTTACACAACATATGAATTATTGTTGTCAAATTATTGATAATACATATTTATTCACTTTTTTAAACTTAAATTCTTGTTTAATCACTTTCAAATTCACTTTTTCAAAATTCATCTTCATTTTTTTTTTAAATTAAAATATTTTTGGGGCAATTCTGTAATTATACTTTATTTCCCCCACAAAGATAAGGTTGCATACAAATTTGAATCTGTAAGCAATAATTGCTCTGAGGCATTTTTCTTCCATTTTAGATTAAACATAAGATAAACATTAGATTGTTGACTTAAAAAAATTATTATTATGCTTATAAGAAAAGAAGATTATTCACCATTATAAATTTTAAGAATCATTATGTTCTTTCCTGTATCAATGTCTTTTTAAGGTAATTTTGTTCTTCTTTAAAAACTTGTTTCTGCCCAGTCTAATAAAGTATAGTAAAAGCAAGTTTTTTCCCCCTCCTACAATCTAATTTTTTATATGTATAAGCTAGAGACAAAAAATGGATAATCCACAAAGCTTGTAAACGAACTTTTTGAATAAATAAGCCAAAATTGTGACAGTAAAATAGCCACTGTGATTGGTTCTAACCAGGATTGGGTTTTTTCCATCAAAAACTGGTTTTTGACATGACAGTGGTAAAAACCATGTTTTTACCGGTAAAAACGTCAAAAACCTACTGTTTTCTTTCATTTATGGCATATAGCGGACAATATATTATTTTCACATAATTGCCTTTATAAATGAATGCTGTAAATGACTACCAGTCTAGTTCCAAGGAAGCCTGTCATTGAGGATAATGATAACAAAAGGCTATTGCAATGTTGCAAGAAAACTCTAAAAGGATTTCCCAGGCTTTTTCATGTCTCATTTCTGTGTAAAATATTGAAAGCAAAATTGATAGGAAAAGTTTATTTTATGAGGCTTTTTTTTTATATGTACATGTGTTTCTCAAAGCAAGATTTTATGAATGAAAGTAACCAATCTTGACATTCTTCAGTAATGTAATATGCCAAACAAAATGATGCTTGGAAATGTTGAAAATTTTGTTTAGTATCATAATATTTTACTTCAAATTGTATGTTTCGATATAATCATGTTGGAAAAATGCAAGAATCTGTTCTTAAATATCTTTTAACAACTTTTTTCTCATTTTATTGTCCGAAAATGAATTAATTTTAAATTATAAGCAGTTAAAAACTCAAATAAAAATACAGTTTTACCAAAACTATAGGTTTTTGACATGACGGTAAAAACCGTCATGTGTCAAAAGCTTGCCAACCCTGGTTCTAACTTAACGTTAAACCTTTTAACATATGAAGTTTTTGTGGAAAAAATTTCCTAGCAGTAGTGAACTAAGGTAGACATTTTGATAACTAAGGATTTTTATAAAAAACATTTCCAGAACTTAGGAACATGATTATTTGTCTCTTTGACTGTTTATATATCTGCTCAAATTATTAGAAATGAAGTGTTAGATGAGATGGTTTTAACTTATCAAAATATTAATAAATTATTAAATATTTTCTAACTACATAAATCAGGGATGCACAGCCATTTTCAAGCAATGAGCCACAAAAATTACAAAGTAAAGTATTGGGTGTCCAACATTAACATAATGCTGTAATAACAAAAATGCTGTCAATATTTAAAATTCTGTTTGAAAGCAATATGACTGAGTTACATGTGCAATTAATTTTTTTCTTCTCGTGTGCAGATAATTAAAATAATGAATTTAAAGAAATATACTAATCAGATTAGAAAGCAAATTATGGTAAATTTATAGGCATACAACGAAAAAGGTTTAAATTTACATTTATCCCAAAAATGTTAATTTTCACTATTATTCAGAAAAATAAAATTAGTTACTAAAACAGTATCAGATAAATGTGATAACTGTTTGTTGATAGAATTTTGAAATATTTATTTATCCTATCCACTTGCAAAATTTTCTTCTCTTTTAGTTTATTTGTATAAATTCATAAGTAATTACAGTTCTCAACCAACTCTGAACACAATGTTTGAAAACAACTATAATAACGAGAAATGGATACATTCTAATACTATTTTAAATAAAGCTAACTAAATAAGTAACTTTTTGTTTCGGAGCATAGCTGCAAAAAAAAATTTTTTATTTTCTTTGATACTTTTACTTATATTTTAAACAGTTCAGGCACCAAGTTGGACTTTAGGTTGTGCATCCTTGACAGAAGTATAGGTGTAAGACATTAGTATAGGAGGGTATGTAATGTTAACTTTTTCAACTTTTCCTGCATAATATGCAAAAATACTGTTATTCATTATAAACTATTTCATTCGATTTGTGTCACTAAGAAAAAATATACCTCCTTATTCATAAGATTTGAAATAAGTATTTACACTTTTTTCATATTTCAAAATTTTCTGGAAATAAAACTATGGAAAAGCCTTCATTGTTTTCAAATATATGCTAGCCTTTTCAATGAAATACTCACATTAGTTAAATTATGGGCGGAATAACGTGTTTTTCTTCTGTAGTATATCACAACACAAACTAAAAGAATAATCAACACAAGAGCAGCCAAACAGGTAGCAGCAACTATAGTACCATACTTTTCTATGATTACTGTTAGGAAATCATATTTCTCTGGTAGAAGTCCATGGTAGAAATATGTCGCATTAGCATTCACCTACAAAATAATATACATTTTTAGACAAACCATTGAAAATTAAAATAAAAATATGCTTTAATTTTAAAGCGAGAGTAAATTAGAAGTATAAAGTTAAAAACAACCACATAACGTTGGAATAAAAACACACATTTTATATATACCAGAATAATATAAATTTTCAAACAAATTATTGAAATTATTTTGAAGATTGAAAGAAAAAATAAATAAAAGCATGCTTTAATTTTAGCAAGTGTAAATTAGAAGTATAAAATTACTATATTAAGTTGGAATAATATACATAATTGCAATAATATACATCAGACAAATTCGAGAAATGACTTTGAAGGTATAAAAATAAAAGCATGATTATTTATAGTCATAAAAGCATGTTTATTTAAGCTAGTCATGTCAAGTTAAAAACTACCACTTAAAATTGTAACATAATCATAGGCATAGCGTGAAAGAAATTTTTAAGGGGGTACATGCTATTTTTTTTTACTTCTTAGAATATATATTTTTAAAAAAATGCACAGAAATTTTTTTATAAATGTCTACATAAGTAATTTTCTGCATTCAACAGAGTTAATAACTAGTGTATTAGCAACAATTAAAAACTTTCGTGGGACATGACAGATTCTGTAATGAATTCATGGCATATATTGTGAAACCATGGTAAGTCTGAATTTGATGCCTAATTTTCCTAAATTTAAAAAAATAAATAAATAAATCATGACTCAAACAAAACTATTAAATAAAAAAATATTTACTAAAAATTGATTTTTACATCGAAGTATCTTTGGATAACGAATTTTATAATAGTGTGCAATTTTTCATTTCGCTTAAAAAGTTCTCGAGATATGGCAAAATACACAAAATGTAAAATTAACATTAAGGGGTTCAAACTATGAATTGCTTTCGTGGCCAAATTATGTGGACCGTATTTCTCAGATTGCATCTACAGGTTTGCCACAGAAAAAAATGAACAAAATAGTTGCCAAAAACTGAAAAATAGTGGCTTAGATAAGAACAAAATATTTTCAATAATAAGACTAAAATTTTTTTAAACGACTTGTCATATACCACGATTCATTTAGTCCCGTTGGAGGCAAAATTAAACACTTTTAATTAATTGGTAGAATCCATTCAAAAAAATACTTTTTCTAAAAAATTTTCCCTTTTATCATTAATGATTGATTTCCCAAATAATATAGATACATAAATTCGAAATTCACGCATCAAAATACCATATTAAAANAACCGATTTAAAGAATCCGACCGCTCAAAAAATTTTTCAAGGCGCCAAAATAAAAAATATTTAGCACTTTTTTAGCACTCAGAAGAAATTTTAGCACTTTTTAGGCCCTAAAAAAGTTGGGAAAAAATTTTAGCACTTTTTTAAGACATTTTAGGACAGCAAGAACCCTGCTTACAATGCAATCTGTGCAAATTGGACACATTGAAAAGTGATTATTCAAATTTGCAATTCAAAATTTTCAACAACACCAAAAATACTAAAAAAATATTAAATGAAAATATTTCTAATAGTATTATCACTTACTAAAGACAATAACTCTTCTGACTTGGTTCTTAATGAAGAGAGCAAAAAGTAGGCAGGCAGTGTTTCTGATAGAAGAAAAATATATTTATTTCTTTTTGTAAAGGCATTTATTTTCAATCATAAAATAAAAAAAGAACACTGTTATAAATATTAATGAGATATGGTAAAAATATTATTTTACTGACAAAACACAAATCAACTGTCACGTTTTTGAAAAAACTACAGGTTGGAGAGAATTTTTTATAGTGAAAAAAAATAATAATTTGGTCTCTATGTAAGGGACTGTCCACAAATTTCACACTTGAAGGAGAGGGAGGGGTTCTGAAAATGTGACAAGGGGAGAAAAAATATGACATTCAGTACACATTATGATTACAATAAAATCATGAGATAAAATAGTATATTATTTATTTCTACATGTTTTTCATTGAAATAAATAGACCTATGTTGTTGTTGTTAATTTACGTTGCACTAGAGAAGCACAATGGGCTATTGGCGACGGTCTGGGAAACATCCCTGAGGATGATCCGAAGACAAGCCATCACAATTTTGATCCTCTGCAGAGGATATTAATAAATAAATAGACATGCGTAATCATTATTAGTGTTATGGTCATAAATGTCAATAAAAAATATATTTGAAATTCAATATATAAAAATCTTGTTCCTGAACCGTTAGTATGCTTATGTAATAATGTGACAAGGAAGGTGAGAAAAGAAACTTTACCAGATATAGAATGTGTTCCAAAAACTTTTTGGAATTCAGACCACAGTATTGTGTTTCAAGATCAAAGAAAGGAATAAAGTCTTTCCCCGCCAATTTATTTTAATTAAGATGCACAAAGGCAAATTAAGCTGGCTTTTGTTGATCTCATTGAACAGTGGAAAAAAATATTAGCTTAAAATGTATAATGTGCAAAAAAATTTTCTTTAAATTTTTTTTTAAATGATTCTTAAAATTTGACATCTGGATAACAACACTTATTTAGAATTTTTAGAAGGATTTCCAAAATTTAAAATTGGTTTGTATAAAATTTATATTATAATTACAAAAGACCTTATTTATTAATATCAGGGAGCGAAACTTTCACTTGCCTACATGCCATTGACGATCAAATATATAAATTAAACTATGTACCCTTAGATTATACTTAGGGCTGCAGGTCTATCTCAGTGCAAATTTCTGCGAAATTGTCCTCTTTTTTTTCTAAAATCCGCGAATTTCTCAATATGTTTTGATCTGAGCGAATTTTTTTTTCTTCATTTTTAATTATTATTTTTATTTAACAGAATTTTTTACTTTCTTGAAGCCTTAAATTGAACATGTAAAATTTATCAGATATTTAGGGGAGTGAATCAATAGCAAAATGACAAGAAAATAGTTTAGAGATACGAGATAATCACAATCTTGTCAAGTGAGGTTGTTTTTTTACACTTAGAAAGGGTAATAGACTGATAGGAATACTTTACTGAAGTCAGTAAGAGTACGAAAGAAATTGGAATCATAAAAGAAGGAAAATGTTATAAATCAAATCTTTGACAGAAAAATTGTAATACAGGATATTCCACTGGGCAATTAAATTTCTACTGCCTTTCTACATATCCAGACAATTTTCCTGGCGGCTTTTTGTGATTTCTTAAATGGGGATCAGTTTCTTAGAGGGAAATAAGGCTTTTGTAACTAGTAGTTTGAATGTAGAATGTTTGAGTTTTCACAGCAACTACTTCTTACAAAACAACGGTCAAGGAATTGCGTTCTGATGAAGGAAAATTGACTGAGTTTTGGAAATCAAAGACCAAACGCTCTATAAAAGTGGTCATTCGATGTTTGTCAGTGCCTAAAAACAGCATGGACACAGAAAGATCGTTTTCTAAGTATACAAATGTACCAAATGATGAAAGACAAAGCATAAATGAGAATAATCTGACAATGTACAATACTTTGTACCAAAATTCTGTTCATTTAAATAAAAATATTAACATTGCTTGAAATTAAAAGAAATACTTTTGTTGTGTATTTTTTAAGCTTTTTCATTATTTGCATCATTTATATAGTAAATTTTTTTATGTTTAGAATTTTCTTATGTTATGAATTTCTGTCTTTTGCATCAATTATAAAGTAAATTTTTTTATGTTTAGAATCTGCGTAATTTTCAAAATTTCCCATGAATTTTGGATCTTTTTTCCCGCAACAAACTTGCAGCCCTAATTATAGTTCCTCAAAGCACAGAAATGTTGGCATAGTATTTGGAAATATTGAAAACTTAAGACAAACTCCTTTTGATTTAATATAATTATTATTACATTTATTCTATAGTTTTTACATTCTTTTCATTATGATTTTGGTCGCCATAAAGGTCTTACAGTTCCATTAACATTTGAAAAAATTTTCTTTTCATAAAGGCAAAATAGTGGCAAGCAAACAATTTAGTCTTGCTATCATCTTTAGAACTGAAATTCCATGCCTTCTTAAGACTAACAAAATTCTTATTTCTGAAACGAAAGGTTTTCAAAAATATTCATTATTTTACCACATATTGTCATTATACTTACCATTTAAAGTGTTGTCAAAAGCATAAAAAGTAAATGAAATGTTGGAAAGGTGCACTTCAGGGGTTGGATGAATATAGATAAGCTCCAATGAATGTTTATCAGCTGCGTCCACTTTAGATTTTAGCTCGTCACTCAAATAATTCTACAAAATAATATTTTTTATTTTAAATAAGTTTTAAAAAGACCTGCTTTATGAAATTATTGATATTAAAAAGAAAGTATATTTTAACTCATTGATATTCAGTATAAAATAAGTAGAAAAATTGCAATTATGCATAAAAAAAGTCAATTTTATCAATGTACCACAAAAATGAAAAATTGGTTACGTTACTGTTAATTGGAATGAACAAAAAGAGAAAATTTCAAATAAAAATTAAGAATTTAAGATTTAATAAGTTTCATTAACTATGCATAAGCTGTAAGTAAATAGAACCGGTATTACCCAATATAAAATAAAAATGCAAAGGAACAATGCAATTAAAATAGCTTTAAATACTTTAACTTGCAGCTAAGGGTTGTCTAATTGCTCAATGAGCATAAAGTATTCTTTGAAAGAGTAAAATAGAGAATTGAGTTACAGCAAATGCCAAGTTAAACCAGGAAGGTAGAGGAGGGAGAATGCAGGAAGATTGTGTTTATCCACTGATTTTGGTTAGATTTTACAAATTATGAAATTTATTATTGTTAAAAATTCTATCTGCAGACAGCATTTTTTAGCCTACAATACCTTTAACTAGTTCAGAAATAATATGAACAACACAAACATAAAGCTTAAGATAGAACATAGAGAGAACAAACACAATATTAAAAAAAAAATTGAACAAATTAATTAAAAAAACAATTAAGACTATTTTGTGTGCAATATTTCAATTTATATACTATTTCATGTGGTGAAATGTATTAATTTATAAAGTATTATTTAAAGTAGAAATTTTTAGCTAATTTTTGAACTTTAAATAGGAAGATTAATATTATGGCTAAAGGATTAACAAAACAGAAAATTTAGCATTTGATAAATGTTCACATTATCTTGGAATAGGTTTTTATTAAATTTAGATTATACTTCGGCATAAAAAAAACTATTATGCAATAAAAATATGATATTATATCACAGAATAATTTATTAAATAAAGATTGCAAAACTTTATAAAAATTAATAAATCAATTATCTCTTAATTTGCTGCATTGACAAAAGCAAACTACTAACATTTGTAAAAAGTAAAGCATTCCCATCACAGCCTATTGTGAAGATGAATGTTGAACCTATCAATCTGAATCTGGTTGGAATTCGAGCCACCATAGGGAATTGAACATCGGCTCTTTACAACGACAAAGCTCAGTACCTTAGCAACTGTCTCTTTGCCACTCCTACTAGCATTTGAACTCGAACTTTATCAATCCGTAAATTTAAAGTTTAATTTTACTAGTTTTCATACATTTTAATAAATTAAAAGACATTATACAGAGTTAAATTACAAGAAATGATACTTCTTGAAATATATAAAAGATGCGGGCATGGCAAACTCGTTTGTAAAAACAAAATTAGTACAAAGAATCAAAAATAGGGCTGAAATTTTTTTTTAAAGCGTAATGTTAAAACAATTTATAATATTTATGCTTGTAACTTTAAGTACAATAATTCATGATGTTAACAATTAACACAAAGGTAAAATGTAATTAACTTATAAAATAAAGTGGACATAAGCAATTATATACTTGCATTATTTGTATAGTTCATTGTTAAGGCGGGAATTATATTAATCAAAGCAAAAATCTCGCATTATAGCTTTACTTTTGCATAAAAAGTGAAAAACATGAAACAAAATTGTTGTTTAAATTTTTTTTTCACATCTACTATTTAATCACTTAATTTTTCATATTTACAACTGCAAACAGACTCCATGTTTTTTTTTTAAATTTTATATACTAATTATAGTATATTACAACTGTTTTTATAGATATTTCAATATTTATAATATACTAATCTAAACTTTAAATTTGCTAATCTAAACTATACTCTAATCTAAACTATAAATTTGAAATTCATATTTATATACAATTTTGTAGAATATTAAATAAATTAATTTAAAAAATAAAAAGAATTTCACCCTTTTTGGGTGACATTTAACTAGTTAGAGAACACTTGGCCATCAAGCTCTGTGGTTGACGTGTCAATAGCAATATTAATAACAACACTTTTAAACTTACCTTAGTTCTATTTCTAAAATCTATCTCCAAAACATTTTGCATCCATTGATGAATTTGAGCTACTTTTTCATTTACTATGTCATCGCTCTAAAGAATAAAGAATGTATAAGTTAATCACAGGTTAATTCTAACTTCTTTATTATAAATTTTTTTTCAAAATTTTAATATTAATTACTCCAAGGGAGAACAATATTTCTACGGCTATTTATTGATCAGCTAATAAAGATAGAAGCATAATTTGCAATCATATCGCTCTTTAACAACTAAAAAGTCTGTAACTGTATTGAAATAAACATGCATTGATAAACTATTAAATACTAATTAAATAAATTATTAGACTTTAACTATAGTTCCTAGCTCTTTTTCGCTGCTTGATAGCTAGCTAGGGATTTATTTTGAAATCGGCATTATTTCTAAAATATGGGTTACTCTACGGCAGGGACTGTCTTAATTATAGCTTTTTTATTCAGGTTTTTTCATGAATACATAAAACTATAATAATAAATTCACATTTTGTACTAAGGTATATCATCTATAATAGGCATAAATTATGAATTATTTTTATGACTAAGATATTGCTAATGCTGAGAGGGAGCAAAGAGAGATACAGCATCAATCAAGGAGACATCCAAAATGACTTAACTTATAACTTATTACAATTTTTAATAATGAAATTTAACTTTTGAAGAGGTAAATATTGGCTTAAACAAAATATTTCGTAAAGAATAAAAATATCCAGATATGCTATGAATGACATTATATAAGATAAATATAATAATAGTTTCCCATACTTACAATTCAAATATTCATAACATTAAAAAAAAGAAGGACAAAAGGCTAAGATATTTTTATTCTTAGAAATTAATGTTTACTTTAGAATAATTCTTAGTTTCCTGTAGAAATTCAACATATGGATTTTAGTTTCTGTTGCCAATTTCTTTTTATTATTATTAAAACTGGTTTATTATTATTAAAACTGGTAAAACTAACATAACCTCAATCCAGAAGCTTTCTCTAGGCATCCCAACACCTTTCTTCATGCTGCAGATACAGGACAAAATAAGTGTCTACGTCTACACAAATAACTCAATAAATGGGCTACCTATGGGGGGTGCTCCACTATGACCAGTCATTTAAATAGTATTTGTAAAAGAAGAGTAAAATAAATAGGTAAAAAAAAAACTGGGCACATTAGAAATCACAAATTAAAATTTAAATGGGAAAAAAATGCTTTCAAAAACTGACGGATTTCGATTGAGGTTCAATATTATTTGAGATTATAAGTTAAAGGGGGTTCATAACCACAAGCAGTACCACCTGACTAATAAATTAGGTGTTGAGAAATTTCGGTCTTTCTTGACCTCGATAATGATTAATCTAAATTTGAAAACATTTCTTAGATCAATTCTGAAATATATATTAATTGTGGTCATTATGGAACACCATTTATAAATAGCAACGGAAGTCGGGGGTCTATCATATGTACAAGATCTATTCATTAGATACATACTAGATGCAAAGGATTGAAAAAAAATATACTTTTATCCAGGGCTCGAAAAACCGCCCGTCCTCGGCGGTCAAAAATTCCCCGCGAACAACAAATTTCTCGAATCCAACGTCCGCGAATACGGCTATTTTCCCGTTAATGTTCGTGATATATTTACAATTTTTGTTATCTTACAAGAGTCTAGCACCTCATTTCTAAAATGACCCTCTAATCTCGAAATACAGCAACATACTGCGCATGGTGGAATTGATGTTTTCTCTGTCTGGGAGTACTGCAGCGGTTGAAAGGGGCTTTTCAGCAATGAACTTACAAAAAAAAAAAGAAGAAAAAAACACACATTACGTACTGGTCTTAAACAAGTAGTGTCAACAGCAATTATGAACATCTACCTAAATGAAAAACCTCTTTCAGATTTCTGCGCAGAAACCTCTGTAAATCATTGGCTTGATTGTGGAACTGGCAAATGTCGTATTTGATTCATTTAAAAAACGCAGTACCATCGGATAAATTGACATGATAATTGCCAGATAAAATGACCTTTGTTATTTAAATTATTTCATTAAGGAAATAAATTATTTCATTAAAGAAATACTAGGCTTTACTATTAGTAACCTAGTATTTCTTTTATTACTGTATAATGTAATCCTAGTATTTGTAATCCTAGTAACTACTAATTCATTGTGCAATTTATATAAATGTTTGTAATAAATAAGAGAAAATTATATTTTTATTTATTTAGAAGCGACGGGTTAGTTTCAAAGGAGGACGGGTACATTGTTGGACAAGCCGTCCTCGGGGACGGGTAAAATTTCTGAGTTTTTTCGAGCCCTGCTTTTATCTATTTAATACATCTAAATCTACTTTTATTTATTTTACTATATGATAAATGCGAAATAGATTCAAAGAATTAGAAAATCAAGCTAAAATTTAAGAAATTACAAATTACACAAAAATTTGAATCATCAATCATTTTTTTAATTTTAAAATTTAAAAAAACTGATTAAGAATTTCACTTTCATGATACTTAGGTGAATACATTAGAAGCACAACCTTATTCATAAGGTTGTGCTTCTAATGTAGTCTCATGAGTCTTAACTTCATTTACTATTTATTCAAAAGCTTAAAAAAGAATTTTGCTGGTATAAATTATTTTCCTGAGATTTTGCAACCTATATCGTGTTCCAAAAATTAAAGGCAATTTTGTCTTCTTTTTTACTTTTACTTCTTTGTTACTTTTTTTCTTCTAAAAATTATTTATTTTTTTATTTTGGTTATAAGGCAATTTTTTTCTCTTTAATATTTTAACAAGCTGGAATACATGGGTATCATTTATTTCATAAAATGAATGCATACTTACATTATAATTTGATGGCAGCTGTACTACTGAAGTAATAATATTAGTTTTCTGCTCTGTCGTCAGATCTTCGTATTCTCTCTGCAGAACAGGAATCTGAAGTTGTGAGAATAAATTTAACAAAATAATAAATTTTTTTAAAAAAATGAAAGCCATGCTTTCCAAATTCAGTATAAGGGAGAAATTAACTTTATTATTTAAAACGCAAGGCGCATCACTTTCGGAGGTCCAGGGAGGCTATAGGGGCTGATTAAAATTAATTGCCAAAAATAGATGTTTGAAACATTTTGTTTTAGATGTGAGAAAAATAAAATTATCAGCTCCTTTACAGTTAACTTGAAAAGCATAGTTTAGTAAGTTTTTAAAAACTTTTTATTGTCATTTTAGTTTTGTGTCTGATAGATAATTTATGTCAGAAAATGGTCTAACTTCATCTTCGATTGGCATTAAGTTTTACTTGGAGTAGTCAGGAAACGATTGAAACATGCTTTGTCATTCGAAAAGTGCTTCAATTAAAGTTTGATCACTCAATTTAATTGAAAAGTAGTCCGAATATCGATTGTCAATTTTCGACGGTCATAAAACGATTAAATATTGTTTGTTCTACAGCTAAGAACTCCAGATGAAATTTCAGCACTTTCAGATAGTCCGAAATCAATCATAATTTTGATTGACGACAAATTATAATTGGCGATTAATTCTACATTTAGCGATATGAAACGATAGAAACATAAGCTGTTATCAAGCACAGAGAACCAACTTGAGTATTCTAGCTATTAGAAAAAGGAAGTTCAACTGACGATAATGTCGATTTCGTGATAAATCCTGTAATGGTCTGGAAACAATTATTTAGTTTTTTTTTTTTTTTTTNTTTTTTTTTTTTTTTTTTTTTTTTCTTTTTTTTTTTTTTTTTTTTTTTTTTTTTTTGTTAAAATTATAAACGGATAATTGAAAATATTTTAATAAAAAAATTTCTCAATAAAACAAGAAGATCGTGATAAACTGTTTTTCATTGTTGTTGATGCATTATAATAAAAAAGGAAATTCACTTTGTTAATTCTTTGATTAGCTGTTCTCAACAAAATATTAAAAGTTATAATGGTATTTATCTACAAATTATTTATGTATCGCTTTTAAAATTATTTTTCTTTAGTTCCTATTTCATTACAAAGATATTTAATATCCATTTGAAATTATTTCAACTATTTTTTAATTGTTATATTATCTACATTTAACTTTGTCATTTCAGCTATATTTATTTTATTTTTATTATATTATATAATATGTAACAATCGTGACAATTTGGTTCGAATTAAAAATTTTATTCAAAACTAAAATATACATGAATATCAGCTAAGGTAATCTAATAGTGAATAACAACATCCAGCATAAAATTTAAGCACTTTTTCAAATAGAATTGACATGATTGATTAGTAATTGATTAACAAACAAATTATTAATTTTCTATAATAAGACTTTATTAATAAAGTTCAGTGAATCAACTATTAATATAGTTATATAAGATTTGAAAAAGCGCAAAATGAACCAGGAATGGGTACTGGGCCAGGAATGGGTAAAATGCATCCTCTGGTAAAGGGATGTGTAGCCAAAATTTTGTAAACTGCTATAATATATATAGATTATATATAAAGTAAAAAGAAGAAGAAAAAAAAGAAAGAAATTTCTTTTTTAATAGCATAAGGCGAAAATGCTATTAAAAAAGAAATGAACATCAAATGACATAGATGTTTTTCCTTAATGAAAGTTTTTGATCCCTCATTAAAAGCCTTAATTGTTCTTAATTACCATTTCCTTGTTTTGAATTGATTTGTCAATAGATAGAATAATTATAAATGCGCATATTTATAAATGGATAAAGAAGTAGAAGTTTTATCTTCTGCTAAATATCACAAATAATTTTTCCCCTTAAAAAAATAAATAAACTAAAAATAAAAAACATTACCTTGGAGATTCATTTCCTAACTTTATGTTTCTTGGCTTTTAAAACATCTTTTAGAGTGCTAATTTTTTTTTCACAAAAATTTTTTCAATTTCGATTTTACGGTATTTAGCAGAATTTATCGTCTGCTAAAAATAGCAAATAATTTTTTCTACCTTTAAAAATTTTCTAGAGATTTATTTCCTTTCTTTTTGTGTTTCTTATCTTTTAAGGAGCTATATTTTTTTTAACATAAAATTTTGTTAATTTTGACTTTAATACTCTCTTATTATTTTTTTTATTTCATATATATTATTATTTTCTTGTTGCTTTGGCAAGTTAGCCGTTAGCTCATAAAACGGTCTGGAGAGGGATATATTTTTATTCAACAATGGATAAATGGTCATTATTTAAAGCAAAAAAAGTGAGGTAAAAATTAGCGAAAAAAAGCATTTAAAATCGTAGAAACTTTCTAACAAATTGGAATTTTGAAAAATAAAATTCGTTCCCGTGGGGTTCTTTCAATACCTCAAATTTCAATTCTGTAGTTGAATTTCTAACTTTTGCTCTATTAGTCAATAATCTCTTAGTCGAAAAACATTTAGAGTTTTTGTAGTAACTGAAAATCAAATACGAATTTAAAACAATCTATGATGTTGCTATGATCAAGAGTAAAAGAAAATGTACAATCCCTATATTTTTAACAAAATTTGTAGAACCTAGTCTACAATAATAAAATATTCAGGGATGCTTTTAACAAATGTTTTTTGTTATGATTTATTAATAAGTCTATCCTCAAGAGGGGCGGATCCAGAAATTTTTCCTGGGGGGAGGGGTCATAGACACAGATCCCCCCCTCCCACAATTAATTTTTTTATGAAAAAAATTTTTTTTAATATTTTTTTGAAGAAAAAAAACTGGGGTTTTTAATGCATTTATTTTTTTTATAATGAACAATAGAACAATACATAAATAATTTAAGTATTCAAAATCTTTAAATAATAAATGTAATGCGTTTTTTAGAAACCTTGGCAAATCTGTCAATGATTTTTTCAACATCCAAATCAATTTTTCTCGATGAATGTTTAATAATGAGAGTCCATTTCATCGTTCTTGATTCTGAGTTGCTCTAAGCCAAGTTTTGAGACGTCGAAGAGTTGATAAGGAGCGTTCTGCTGTTGATGCACTAACTGGCAGAGTTATTAAGGCCTGTTTACACGATCCAATTTCTTGCAGGGGTCTGTCCAGACATTTTGTGAAAGGTCCGTTTTTCGTGAAATTGTGAAAAAATTACTCACATTCTTTCAACCAGGGTCCGCTTTTATGAATTTGTGCAAATAGGGTCCGTTATTGCAAAAAAAAAAACTTTTTCAAGGAGTTTTTAAATTGTAAAGACATACAAGATTATGATCAACACTGTAAAGTGGTCCGTTAACGGACCCAAATTTCTTCTAAACAGACCCCTGTCTTGAATCCGAGAAATTGGACGGATTTCTCTGACCAAGAAATTGGATGATTCGTTGACACTATCCAAGTTCTTGAATGTCACTGATTCGTTGAAAGAAAAACTTGCGCATGAGCATTGTTCATATTCAGCATTATAAAATAATACTTACATAAGTTTAAAATTACTAAATAAATTCAAATAAAATCATAATAACACAAATAAACCTCAACAGATCAATTTATTTGGACTAAAATCTATGAAAACCCACAACAAAATGACATAATTTGCTGCCTGCTTGTTGACGTCACAAAACCTAAGACGCTGATTGGTTAAGGGAGAAAAAACTTGGATGGAAAGTAGAACATGCTCTACTATCGTCCAAGAAGTTGGACCAAGTTCTTGGATGACTGTTTACACGATCCGAGCTCAAAGCAAAACAAGTTTCCATCAATATCAATCAATCTCTGTCCAAGAAGTTGGATCGTCTAAACAGGCCTTTAAAATTCTCAACAACATACTGATTGATGGGTACAAATCGATGTCACAGGCATTAATGATCTTATAAAGATCGTTGGTCCTGCTTCTGATTCATGCTGCCACTTTGCCAGGTGTATATGCCCCATAAATAATTTTTAAAATATTTTATTTCTTTTGTAAACTATTTAAAAATTATTATTTTTATTTAATTTTTTTTCAATTTTGAGGGGGGGGGCTTAGGGGTCATGATCCCTATAACCCCCCCCCCCCCCNCCCCCCCCCCCCGCTGGATCCGCCACTGACAATAATAAAATATTTAGCGATATTTTTTAACAAATGTTTTTTGTTATGATTTATTAATAAGCTTATCCTCAAGAAACAAAAATTACTCGCAGTTGACGAGTGACAAGGAGTAGGGACAATACTCCCTAGTTTTAAATAAAAGAACATTTCTCGCGATTTGCAATGAAATGTGCTCAAAACTAAAATAATTATAAAAATCACCTTAGAAAACTACACGTTGAGTTTGAATGGATAGTTCAAAATTTTAACGACACTATGATAGATTGTATTTTACCTATTTATTCAATATTAAAATCCTATTTATTCTAGATTAAAATCTCAATTAATTATAACTAATTAACCTTTTTAAGAAAAAAATAGAAATATGCTTACCATTTTCAAACTTTTTTCAGTAACCTGGATTTCATGTGAAGTTGAAGTTGTCACAACAATTACTCCGCCAGATGGATTTTCATCAGATTTATCCTTGGAGTTGGTTGTACTAAAAGGTATATGTTTCCCTTCCCTGTGAGTGGCCATGGTAAACAGATTGGAACTTGATGTATCAGTGAGTGTAGTGGTAAAATGTGAACTTCCACTTTCATCAGAAAAACCTTCCGTACTAGTGCTATCTATTTCACTCACAAGAGTAGAATACGTATCTGACGTTTCAGAAAAAGTAGTTTCTATAGTATTAAGACTACTTTCTTCTTCAGTTGAAACCATCAATGGAATATGATTAGACATGCCATCTTGCTCCAAAGTGGTAGTGGATGGTTCACCGCTGGAAGTGGTAGAAGATTCTCCAGCCACAAACAAATGAGTTATGTTTCTGGAGATTGAATTTGATACATTTTCGATAGGATGAAAATAATCTGAAGGCAAAGAACGTGCTGTTTGTGGTGAATCAGAAGACGAAATCTCATTCACGAAAATCGTACTTGTTTCTGTAGTTTCAGGAAAAGATGAAACAGTCGAAGTATCGGCATCAGATATTGTTCCACCACCCTGAACAGAATCGGTAGTTGCAATTGTATCATTTACGTGTGGTGTTCGAAACAGGAATGGTATGGGAGTACTGATACTTGAAATTCTTGATGTTTCGGAAGACAGGTTATATTCCTTATCAGTTGAGCTCATTGCATTTTCTACTTCTTCAGTATTTTCGGTTGCAATTTCCGAATCTGAATTACTAGATGATAGATCAGAGTAATCTGCATTTGAGATTGTTTCGGATGTTTCTTCGGAAATTTGTTCGGTGATTTCAAAAACGTGGTTATTCATGAAAGTTTCTGAATCGGAGGTGCCAAGATTGTCAAAATTCATTTCAGATGTTAGTTCGATGTCTATATTAGTGCTCTGAATATCACTCATTTTGGTAAACCCGGAGGAAAGAGTGGATTCTGTGGTATTGTTTTCACTCATAATATTTATAGTACTTCCCTTCGTTGAGACATCAGCATCAATTGCATATTCTGTAGTTAGAAAAGGTACTGCAGTACTTAAATCTAATACTGTGGATGCAGTTGTTTTCCTAAGTGTATCAGAAGCTGCAGTTTGAGAAATAACCGATGATGGCGAAACATCTTGCTCATGGGATAATGACTGTGGAGTTTCTGATCTTTCATCGAAACGAACGTTTTTTGATGCAGTTCTTCCCAATGTTTCAGTTGAACTAACAATTTCGCTATTTTTAACTTTAGTCAATAGACGCTCCGTGGAAGTACTTTCAAATTCACGGGATTCCGCATTAACAGAAACTTCAGTGGCAAATTTTACTCCATCGGTATTTAAGTTCTTCGGACTTGCAGGAACTTCACTGGTACTCAAGTCTTTAATTGACGTAGTAACTTCTTCAGTATTTGTTTCTTTGGGAGATGAAGTTATGACTTCATCATTGTTCGGTTCTTTCGATAAAGAAGTAATGATTTCATCGTTATTTAGTTCCTTAGATGATAAGGTAGTAACTTCAAATGGCTGCAATTCTGTAGATGCCTTATTTAATTCTTCAGCTGATGAAGTAGAAAAGTTTTCAATAATAAGTTTCTTTGATGACAAAGTGCTTAATGTTTGGATTAGATTTAGATCATTGGGCAACAAGGATTCAGCATCTTGTTCGCTATGCGGTGAAGAATCTGTGATAGTGGAAGGATAACTGTTCAGATCTTCATTAACAATGGGCGAACTTTTAAAATGTTCTTTATCATGCGTGTTGCTATGTGCGCTTGTAATGGCTATTGATAATGTAGGTATTGTCGAAATGGGCGATATGTTTGGTTGCGTCGTTGTTTCTAAATTTGTAACAGCATTAGATTCCATTTGTACGGAATTAGAGGTCGTAAGATCAGACGATTGTTCCTTATACTCAGTAGTAGATTGCTGAGTAGTTGATACAGTTGGTTCAGTTAAAATGGTTGAAGAAATTGAGTTATTTTCAGATTGTTTAACCTCAGAATCGAGCTCATTGCCGTCGTGGTGATCAACAATCTCATTGGGAGTAGGAATGGTTTTCAAGGGTGTTGGCAAAGTGGAATGTATTTCACCTAGACTAGCATCAGAAAATTGAGAACTATCAGTAGGAGTTTCAGCACTGATAAAGGAATCAGTCGCTTCTGGAGAAACTTTAACAGGAACAGGGTTCCATGTTATTTTGGACAATGTAGATAAAGTCTGAGGTGTAGTTGCGCTTATGGAACAATTATGACTATTAATACATGTTAAATTATCACTATCAGTTTTTAAGTTTAGCGCACTTTCATTTTCACTAGAGAGTTTGTTCTTAAATTCATTTTCATTATCAAAAGGTGTGACTGTAGGAATATAAGAGTCAGATATGTTTGGCACACTGAAATCATCTGATTTTGCAGGATGGAGTTGCTGAGTTAAAACTGAAATGGAAAAAAAAATTAGTCTTATTTAAAATAAATTTAGCAATGATACATACAAATATTTTTTTAAGCATTTCTTTACATTTACGATGACATGTCGCCCTGTTGCAAAAAATTATGTCAATTACGCTGCTCTGAAATTAATTAATTAATAATTGAGCCTTGACACTATTCTTATGAAAAATGAATCACTGAATTGGAATATTACCTCAGTATTGGCCCATCTTTTTTTTTTTTTAATAATAATTCTAAAGGTTTAATTTATTGTAAGCGAACATGATCTCAGATCTCAATGAGTCAAACTTTTGAGAGTACAATAAAAAAATATTGTCAATTTTTTTTTGGGGGGGGGGGGGAAAGCGTTAATTAACTCANTTTTTTTTTTTTTTTTTTTTTTTTTTTTTTTCTAAGGATTGCAGGACAGAATCCCTCGGAGACCGTAGACAAAATATATAAAGTAGAAAATAGAGCGTGAGTCTAAATTTTGTAGGAAAATGCTTCAAAAAGACAGTCACATGGCATTTCGTACAAGCCAGATTTTTTCTAATATTTCAATTTATTTATTTTAATACTCGAAACAAAATTAAATAAATAAATACCTGAACAAAATATAACGTCTGGTTTAGTAATAAATGAATTTTAAAAAAAGTAGATATAGGTAAAAAAAAAAATTTTTTTTTTTTTAAACAAGTCTGAACTCTACAATAAATACGAGTTTATTACCCTGAAAATGAACTCTAGCAAAATTCGCGTTTCGGGAAAACAAAATAATTAAAATAGATTAGTCACAATAGAATAAATCTAAAAGGAAAAAAAAGAATCGCTTATGAATTCTCATTGGATATATTTAAAAAAAAATCTAATATTTTGAATTTCTTTGAATATGTAATTTTCTTCTCTAAGATTATGAGCTCGAAATAATGTATTTAAGGATACAAATAACTCTGATTATGAGGGTAATTTTCTGAAAGAAACTAAAACTGCTTTTAAATTTTATAAATTAAATAAAGAAAACACATAATAGTATAAAAAAAGCAGAATTTTAAAAATCTGTTTTTCGTTTTCAACAGTTTTCGTAAACTTAAATAAACATTTCCCGTAAAAACATATTTCTGAAATTAATTTCGTTTTGAAAACTAATTTTGTATAAGTGTACTTGTTATTTTTTCTTTACTTATATGAATGAAATGGGAAAGAAATTTAAAATGGACATTTATTTTAAGGTTAAGAAGAAAGGAATAAAAAAACAGACTGCACATAACAGTATTGTATATCAGATTAAATAAATATATAAATAAATAAAAACATAATACACAAGACATTGCCAATTCCCCTATCCCATATTATTCTGTAAAATAATAATTTTTCTTCTATTCCTTTCAACGAAATGAATTACGCATGAAGGCAATTGCAAAGACCGAAATGCCTGTATACAGGATGTTTCGTAATCAGAGCTCTTAATTACTTTTCTATCCTGAGTGAAGTATTGACTTGTTGTGGGAACTTGGAGGACTTAGATGGCGGAATTTGAACTCACGTTTTCACGAACACGAGTCCAACGTCCTATCAACCAGGCTATCCTGGACATACATAAGATCAATATATATACATAGATAACCCAGGATTGCGTAGTGTAGAAGTAATCCAACTATAATTTGTTTGCATTATGACAATTTGATAGCATTTTTCCATCATTTTTTCCTAAACTTACTTTTTCTGTTAACTTTAAATTACCAATGGAGGAAACAGAATTTGCAATTAAAAGTTTATCCCACGGTATAGCGTCCTCTTAAGTTAAAGGGCTATTGGCTGGTATTCCCCAGGGCTAAAGAGAATAGAAGGGCTAGTTCACTCCGCTCTTAGAGCTGAAGCTACGATTTCCCTCCTCATGACGTCACTGTGTCCACAGATCTCGCAAGCAAAGATATGATAACTTTGCATCTTTCTCTTTGTAAAAATAAGTTAGACTTTTTCTGGTTATTAGCCTTCAAACTTTACGTAATTAACACATTATTTCCGTTCATAAACATAGTTCAAAAAAAACTTTCTTGGTTATTATATTAAAAAAATACCATTTTAAACTTATAAAAATGTTTTGCTAGTTGGTGAAAATGACACGATAAATACTTTATTTTAAAAAGTTCAGTTTTAACTTTAACTATTAAGAAAAATGAAGGCATATATCGACACTTTTTTTATCTACATATTCTTTTATAAAGATAAGTTAAGTTAAATTTAGAATCCCTGATTTTAAAATATGTCGTTAATAGCAATTTGTTCATACTTAATCATTAGGAAACATCAACCTTAAACGCTAATTACTGAAACAAAATAATAATTTAGGTTCATAATGACATTAGAAATTTTACAATTGTTTATAGACATTTAAATTTACGATGATATAATTTATAGATATTTAAATTGAAGAGAATATAATTTTTAAAAAAAATCATAAATATTTAGAATAACTACATTAAAAAATATGTTATGAAATTAGGAGAATTTCAACTATATACTATATATTTTATTTATACTTTTTACTTACATTTTAATTTTCTTTGACTTTATCTATTTTTTAATTCTTTTCACCTGCCTTTCTTTATGAAGTAGCGAGGCGGTTTCTATTTAGATAATGAATTTTTATAAAAGTTCTTTACGACAGAATAAACGTATTGCGGTTTTATATTAACTGTGTCATTTCGGAATCCATTCTTTACATAGTTGTTCATTTACTTTAGGGAACACGCGAAAAATTATACTTTTTCCTTTTGTTTTTATATCAGAATTTTTGCAAGTTGCAATCGCGCAAACTGGCATTTCGATAATAGTTTTAAATTCTTGTAAATTCACTGCAAAAACTGAGGAAAGTCATTATAGAAAATAACAAATGTCTTAGAATATCTCGCAAAAAGAAATGATCCAATATTAGTTAGAGCTAGTAAGGCCAAACGCTCCGTTCTTGAAGTAAAAGTGCGAGCTTTGCGCCAAAGTGACGTCACTAGAGTGACGTCGGAGGATCGGCGCGGCGAGAGATACTTCAAAGGAGTGAACCAGCCCCTCTATTCTCTTTAGTCCTGGGTATTCCCTACACAAATCTTTTTCCTAATCAATTGTATTGGTTGAGTTTAAATTATACAGACCCGTATAATATACATATTTTCCGCGAACACTGTTGGCGGAAAATGTGTTACTATCACCAAAATAATAATACTACTAAAATTAATAATAATAATAATCCGTCTCTTCAAAGAAAGTTTGTCCTTTTCGAATTAGCGAGAAAAAAAATATTCGTTTTCATCTTTTTTCCTGCCAATAGCAAACGCGATTTAAAATACATTCCATGATTTAAAGACACACATCGCGATTCTTATTTACGCATCTTGTTTCGTATTTTCACGATTTTTTTTATCAAATATCGCGCTTCGTATTCACGCAATTTAGAAGCCACTATTATGATTCGTGTTCAAGTGACTTAAAAATTATACATCGGAATTCGTATTCACGCGATTTTAAAATGAAACATCGGGATTTGTATTCACACGATTTTAAAATAAAGCATCAAGATTCGTATTCAAGCTAATTTAAAATCAAACATCGAGATTCGTATTAACGTGATTATAAAATTAAACATTCAGATTCGTATTAGATTCGATTCAGATTCGATTTTAAAACTAAATGTCGAGATTCGCGAGACTTAAAAATCACACATTGAGATTCATATTCACACAATCTAAATAAATAAATAAAATCTTGCCTCGATATTTTTATCGAAACGTTGATAACATTCTGTTAGTAAATATTTCATTCATTTTTTTCTTTGTGAAACTAGTTACAATGTGGGCAGAAAATTTATTGAGATTTTGTGTTCGCAGAAAGTTTTTCATTTTATCCAAGTAAGTCTGCCGACAGAATTCTGGAATCAGAATTAACAGTACCCAAATAGGCCGGTTTAAATAAATTTGTGTTTATTAAAAATTAATTCACTAAATAAAAAAAAGTTTATGTTTGTTTGTCAGCTTCGAAATCTTTTTGAAAATAATCAAATTTAGAGAATAAATTTGCTACGAATTCCAGATTATTTATCCCTTTTTTTCTGATAAAATTATGCCAATACAAATTCTGTGCACAGCATTTTTCGAAAGACTGTTTAGTATAATACATTTGTCTGCTTTTAGAATTTTTTTGTTCAGATTTATTATTTTTTTACAGTTTAATTTAATGAAAACCGATTGGGATGACACTTAAAATTTCAATTGCATAAAAACAAAGATATTTAACAAAAATCTTTGTTTTTGTGCAATTGCAATTTTTGGTGTCATCCAAATCGTTTTTCATTAAACTGTGAAAAAAATAATAAATTAAAAAAAAAATTCTAAAAGCAGGCAAATGAGTAGTTTTAAAGTCATAAAACATAAATCGCATCATATTATTGCTCGACATTTTTCGAAAAAAAATCTATTAAGTTCTAAAAATTAACAAGCACTATTTCTCCGTATCACATAAAGCGACCCTTTTAATTTAATTCTTTTTAAAACAGAATTTAGTACTGTCGAATAATATATTATCATCAAAAGTAGTAGTGAAGAAAACGCAAATCAGAAATTAACAAAATCCAAGAAGGCGGCGACGTTGGAACCCTCTAAGTTCTGCAACGAGAAAAGAGAGAAGATTAAATTATTAATCTAATACTCTAGTTTATTGGCAATCAATGAAATATACACCCATAAAAAATGAAAAGAAAAATATTTATTCAATTAGTCTTATTTAATGATTCAATTAGTCGTCGATGTTTAAAAAAGAATGTTAAACATTTATTACGTACGCCACCTGTTTCATGTCAACTAAACCGGCAATCGAAGGATATGAATAAGATTTAAGTGAGCGTGACTACTGCAAATTAACAAAATCTCCGAGAGGGCATTCTCTTCTGTAGAAATATCAGGGAGGCGGTCAACCAAGAAAGATTTCTTTGATGACTCTTTTTTTCGGGGTCGTAACCC